ACTCAGAAGTTCCCTCTGGAAAGAGGGTCTCTCCAATGAGCCACACTCCACACCAGGATCTTTCCCAGTCTCTCCTTTTAATTTATTCATGGCATTTATTACCGCTGAAATAACGTGGTTTGTATATGGGTTGATGTCTGGTTGCCTCTCCGGAAGGTCAGCTCTGTAAGAAGGGGACTGTCTTCTTTTCTTGTAATCCCTGTACCTCACCTAGTGTCAATGAATATTTATTTAAAGACTGATAGCCCCTTATGGCCATAGGGAGAGTACCCCAACTCCTGGCCTGCTATTTAAGGCCACCTATGACCGGCCGGACTTATAGTACTTTTCTGCCTTCCACCCTACCACCTCTTCCCATAAACCCAGAGCTCTGCCCACAGCACAGCCCTTAGCACACCAGGCCTTTCACTCCTCCATGCTTTTGTCTGTGCCATTCCCTCTGCCCCAAATTCCCTTTCTTCATTTTCCCACCTGGTGAACTTCTATGCAGCCTTCAAAGCCCAACCCAAATACCCCTGCAGTGTAGAGTAGAAAGCATAAAGGTTAGGGATTTAGACTAGGATTTAAATCCTGGCCCCCCCCACTTCCTAGCTGGGTGACCTTGAGCAAATGACTTCCCTTTTCCTGAGCTTAGTCTCTCTGCAAAATGGGATTACTAATGCCTACTCTAGTGAGCCATCCATCTTGCCAGCTAGACTTTTCTCATGGCAGTCTCCGAAGGCCTGGAAGGTGCCTCTGTGCCCTGGGCACTCTGGCAGTATCTGAGAATGAACAGCAGGGTGGTGAGCATCTATTTATTTGGTTGCCAGCAGCCACTCCCCCTGCTTTGGCTAGCCCTCTTGATTTCCCTCCAGGAATGAACCTGCTTATGTCCCATGCACATGGTTCTGATAGGCGTCCTTCTCCCATAGCTGCTGGGATAGGCATGTGACCAGGCCTAGCCAATCAGAGCATTCCATCCCCTTCTGCCACAGCAATTGGCTCAGAGGTGGATACCATGTGACCCAATTCAGGCCAATGAGACACATCCTTGAGACTCTGCCTGGAATTATCAGTAAAAGAGCCCTTCCTTTGGAGTGAGAGAGAAAAGCTGAACCTAGAGCTGGAAACATGGTTTCAGCCCCTGGATCCACGCATTCCTGAAGGCAGCCATATCTGGCTTAAGTTGGCCTGAGTTGAGATGTCCTCACTGAGACACTGTCCTCTGGGTGGCTCCAGTCTCTGGTTCCTCACTTGCCTGTGAGAGACTAGGGGCCAGGACGGAGAGGAGTCAGAGCATGTAGAGTTGGGCATCGGGGCCCCACTGTGCAAGGGAGATGAGGGAGAGTCTACGGGGTGGGGCCCTGCAGGGGGCTCAGGGGGAAGCAAGGGACACAGGGCTGCAGGGGGAAGCCGCCTGCTCCGGCCTCCTCTGGCTACCCCTGCAAAGATCCCTGGCTTCTGCGCTGACGGGCCGCTGCTGGGTCCTAGGGGGCCCTGCTCAGCTCCAAGGCCAGGCCTATGTCAGTCCTCACCGACCCACCTCAGCCCTGGCACTCCAGCTCCCCAGTAGTCGTTGGGCATTTATTTCTGTATTTATTCTGCATAGAACCAAAATACTGGTTTTTCATTAAAAGCAATGGCTGGCTCTAGGGCTGCTAGGCTGCATGACTGCAGGGGCACCCTGACTATCAGGCACCCCGCATTCAGTCTGTACAGTTGTCTCTGTGGCCTGGGTCCCCAGGTGCTGTGGTGCCAAAGAAGGAAGGGGATGGAGAGCGAGGAGGAGAGAGAGTCAGGGTCCCCACCTGAGCTTCCTGGGTCCTTCCCCACCTGGAGACCTTCCAGGAAGGATGGTGAGGGAAATCTCTGTTAGCACACATCACCCTTGGACCTCGGACAGGAAGCACTGGACCCCAAGAGAAGGGCTGTGGCCCGGAGGAAAGAAGGGCCACAGTCCAGCCTGCAAGAAAGGGATGGGCTCCCCTGGGAATAAGCCCCCCTCCACCCAACCTCTTCTACACTCTCCCTTCCCTGCCCCCAACCCAGGTCCCCTAGAAGTGGACAGAGATTCCAACCTCAGGAAAGATGCGCAACCCTTGCAAACCTAGGAAAGGGATCTGGCCCCTCCCAATGCCGCCCCTGTGAACCCCTGTAGCGGATTTAATGTGGTGGCATGGAGACTCTCCCTGCGTGTGCCTCTGGGGATAGAGGATGCAGACTGGAGATTTGGATTTTTAATATTAAAAATGTAAGGTCTGCAAGGGCAGGGATATTAGTAAGTTTTGCTGTCAGCCCTAGAAAGGCACCTCGCATGAGCACGTGCCCAGCAAATATGTGGTCAACAGGGTTACAGTGCCATGCCCAGGCTGGGACACAGAGGAAGCAAAGGGGACAAGAGGTGACAGTGGAGGTGCCACTGGGACCCTGGGGTGAGGGTGGGTGTTGAGGGCAGCAGTATCCTGGGCAGCTGTCCCACCTTGCCCCCAACATCTTCTTCATCCCCAGGACCCTAGGCACTAACTAGGTCAGCATTTGTGGAATCCTGGGGGCCGAGGGGTGCCAGGGTGGGCTGCTCCAGACTTCCCCACTAGTAAATGGGCAACAGGGGCCCCAGGCCTATAGTGGCAGCCTTTCAGGGGTCCCCTGCCCAACGTGTGGCAACACCTTCTGCTTTGGAGAAGGAGGGGACTGTGCCAGACCTACCTGCCTGGAGTAAGGTGCTGACATTCCTCTTGTGCCCCAGAGCCCTAGCCCCAGGCCAGGGGCCCACCCCCACCGCACCCCCTTCCAACATGCTCAGAGATGCTGAAGGCCCTATTGAGGCCAGTTTCAGAGACCCTGGACAGCAGGGTCCACCTCCAGCTGGACGGTTGGCAGAAGGCCTTTCCACCTAGCTGTTTCCCTTGGGGTCTGCCAGGTGCATGTGGGCCAAACATTAGCACGCCCTCACTGGCTTCTGGGGTCAGGGGCTTTAGCTCATGGCTCGGGGGTGGGGGGCGGGGGCGAGAATCAGCAGAGGAGATTGGTAGGTTGGTTTAATTAACCTTCTTTTGTCATGGCCAAGGTATTCACATGGCAGGGAAGCCCAGTGGGATACACAGCCCAGGCAAAGACTAGGAAGGGGGACCACAAGTCCCTCTCTCTAGCTCCTGCTCTCTTGGGTTTTGCATGAGACAGTCAAAAGGAACAAAGCACAGAGAGTGACCAGTACCTTGGCTCATTTCTCTTCTCTCAGACCTGGGTAGAGGAGGAGAGGAGGTAGCAGGAGAGATGTGTCCAGGCAGAGGAGATACGTGCAAGCCCAGAGATACAGACACACAGAAGCCTACCCAAATGTACCGACTCCTCTGTAGATACCCCCCAGACACCCCCCACACCCAGGGCCCAGATGCTCTGGCCTTTTCTCTTTCTCACATCCCACCCCAGGGGCTGAGCGCTGGGGCCTGGGAGTCCAGCTCCTAAGTAAACATTTGTCTGTGAATGACTGGGTGGACAGAGACTGTCATGGTCATAGACCATAGGACCACAGCCCACACTGTACTAGGGGACAATCCACTCAGCTAGGACACAGGAGCACCTGCCATGAACCAGGAGCACCACTCCCAGATGGCCTGCCTGCTCATGGAAAGGGGGTGGTGGTAGAAAGACTGACCACATCTCCCTTCCATGGGCTTGGAGAGGTGTCTGGATGGCTGAGTCCAGGCATGGGGGAAACAGTGTGAGTGGCAGGGTGACTGGGTAGAGCTCTGGTGAGCACTAGAGAGGCCCTCTCCAAGCCCTGCTCACCTGGACCCCAGCTAAACCCTGGCCTCCAGCAGTATGGGGGTTTGAGGGAAAGCCGGAGGGGGAAGCCCCTCACCCCAGGATGAAGGTAGCACAGTGAAACCCCTAATCATGACAGCTGGCCCTAATCATGACCAACCACTTTCTGTCTGCTGTCTCATTCTCATCTCCCCAGAAGCCCTGTAAGGAAGAACTTGAGCACTCCATGTGATAGATGGGAGTACTGAGGACCTGGGAGGAGAGGGACTAGGTCATCCAGCAGGTAAGGCTGTGGAATGACCCTTATCCACTAATCTAGACCCAGCCAGGTGGGTGAGTGTCCCCCCAAAAACAGATTCCTCAGCCTCATCTCTTGGGCCAACTTGACCCCGCTGCCCACAGTCCCTGCCCACCCTGGGGTGTGATTATTTACTCCCTGGGACCCTGCCTGGGAGTCACCAAAGATGAGACTCTGAGGATTCTCACAGAGCGCACACAGGGAGAGGGAGGAGAGTGGAGACCTACCCCTTACCCACATATCCCTGCCCCCTACCCCAACACACTCACACCCAGGAAAGGCAAACAGAGCCAGAGATGGGAACACACTGCTGACTGGGCACCTCAACCCCCAGGCGGACTGTGTAGGCTGCAGGTTAGCCATCCACACCTGTTCCTAAATCTCTCTGGCCTTAGTTTCCCACTTTGTGAAATGGGGAGGAGATGAAGTGAATTTAAGACTCAGCACATGCCTGGCCCAGAGCAGCTACTACACCCTGCGGAGTCATGGCTAGCTGCCTCAGTTTCCCCAACCAGACCATGCAGTGGGTGCAAAGGAGCCCCAAGTTCTTCCCCGTGGGAACTTCAGGCGGAGCAGGGCGGCAGCGCCTGTGCCACAGAGGGCCCGCCTTCAGGACCAGGCGGCCTGAAGCTTTCCCAGCCCACCCAAGCTTATGCCAAGGGGCTTCGGGGCGCCAAGGGGCTTCGGGGGCAAGGTAAATGAGGCTGCCTTCCTGGGTGGGCCCAATGCCCTCTAACACCCACAACTGACCCGGATCCCTGGGCACAGGCTGTGAGGCCCAAAACGATCACGTCTCCTGGGCGTCGAGAGACCAACTCCCGAGGGGCGCAACACCCTTGCGGGGAGCTGGGGCATGGGCGCGGGTGCCTAGAGCCTTTCTGCCCCCCACCCCCACCCCCTACTCCCAGCCCGGGAGGAGACAGCAGGTGCCCCATGGAGGGGCCCGACGGGCACTCACCCGGGCGCAGGGCGCGGGGCGCGGCGCCCAGGAGTAGGAGCGCAGCCCCCAGACACGCGGCGGCCAGCGCGCGCCGCCGCCAGCAGCGCCTCCCCATGCTGCGCGGGGCCCGCGGGGCTGCAGTCCGCCTTGTCCGGCGGGGGGCAGCAGTGCCCGGCCCCGGACCCGCCCCGGGACTCGCCCCGCCCGGTCCGGCCCGCCCGGCGGCGCGTACCAAGGCACGGCGCGGGGGTGCGAGGGCCCCGCTGGCGGGCGGCAGGGTGGCGCGGCGGCCGACCGCTGGGGACTGAGGTGGTGGACGACGGCGGGTGGCGAGCCTCGCTCGTCCAGCCTCCACGCCCTACACCCGATCAAGTGGGGCTGCAGTCCAGGGCGCGAAGGGGAGACTGGGTGGAAAGAACCCTGTCGCCCGGTGAGGCTCCGCCCCCTTCAGTTTGCCCTGGGGGTACTATCCTCCACCCGAGGCCAAGAAGCCTTGTCATCAAAGTGGCAGATCGGTGGGTCCGGTGGGTCGGAAGTGCACTGTGTCCTCTTGTGTTTTTTTGCTGCCTTGCATGCCTGGGGGCCAAGGGCTGGTATGGGGAGCAGCCCTCTGTACATAAGCCCCTCCCGCATCTTCCATCCCCAGCATCAGGCCTAAGAGCACCTCTTACCTCCCCCCAAGGCCAGCCTGTAGCCTTGTTTTCCACAGGTGTCTCCAGGTCCTGCCTGAATTCTGGCTCATGCAGGTCCTGGCCAGCTCTGGGAGGAGAGGTGGGAGTTCTCAGTTCCTGCCCTGCTGGGCATCAGGGCCGTTGGGCCTCACCTGGTCCTGGCAAGGGATCCACCCTCCAGGTGAGCACTCAGCTTGCGCAGGACTCCTGTGTGTGAGGGGATGAGAGTGAAGTCCCGCCTTTGAAAGAGAAACATCCAGCTAGCCCTGTGGGGTGGGGAGACCAGGAAGCAGGCCTGACCTTCGCGCCTTGCTGCCCAGAAGTCAGGCTAACAGGGAACCAAGGGTGCAGCTGATGCCGTGTGCAGGTGTGTGCATGTGCACTTGAGTCAACACTTGGCGGTGTGAGTGTGTGGGAAAGGGTCCTGCAGTAAACTACAGTTTTATAGCTGCTCTTGAAAAATCCGTTTCCAAACCCTGCAGGTGCCACTTAATCACCACATGAGATTGGGAAATTTGCCTAACCTCTCTGTGCCCCAATTCCCTGTACAACGGATCCGTGAGGGCCATCTAAATCCTAGATGTTAGTGATGAATTAATTTATTTTTACAGTTACTGCCTGTTTCTGGCAGAAGACTGGTTTCTCTTACAGCGGTGATACGAAAGTTCCTTCCTATTACATTTTTTGAAGTTTTAAAGGTCTATTTGAGGAAACATGTTAAGTAAATAATAGTTCTGTTGGCTTAAAGATATGGCTCCAATTGGTGATGATACGTCTCAAATGGCAGAGAAGTGGGAAACGCCCCTCACAGATAAAACCAGAAGCTCCTTATTATGGCTTTCCAAAGGACCTGACAGAGAGCCTTGGGATGCGTCCCGCTCAGCCTTGGGATGCGTCCCTGGCATCACTTGGAGAAGCACCCAAGCACCTCAGGCAGGGCTGCTGCTGCTCTGGGCCCAGGGCCCAAGGATTTCCAGCCATGTACGTGCCCGTTGGGCCCCAAATCTAATCTACACTTGCATTCCAGATCCTACCACCCTCCCCCCACAGTCTCTGTAAGGGGTCCCAGCCTCTGGGGCCTTCGGGCAGGAGTCTTGGTCTCCTGGGCTGCCACCTGGTGGCCAAAGCTGAGAACAATGTCTCAGCCTATCCCTGTGGAGAAAATTCCTGGAGACCTGATCCCTGGAGGCCCATGGGGGGTGCCTCAGTGTGGGGTCTTGGGATGGGGGGGTTGGATATGCCTTGCCAGAGGCCCAGAGCCTCAGTATCTTCCCTGTGAAGACACTTTCTGCAGCCTCTGTCCTCTCAAAGGGGCTCACATTCATTCCTTCAGCAGATACTGAATTACCCACTCTGCGCAGGGGCTCCAGGGGAGAGAACAAGGTAGGCTCTTTGCCCTCATGGAATTTATATTATAGAATGGGAAGGGCATAGAAAACAGGAAAAAATATATAAGATCATGCCAGGTGGTAAATGGTGCAATAAAGAGAATAAAGCAGGATAAGGGATGGGAAGTATGTATACCGCACATAAGGAGCGAGGATGGTAGGCGCAGGCCTCGGGGAGGATGTGACACTTGAGCGGATATGAGTCAGGTGAGGAGGAGCCACACAGGTATCTGGAGGAGGACATTTCCAGGCAGAGGACCAGCCCTTGCTGAGGCCTTGATACGATGTGCCAGTAGCTATTACCTAACAAATTGCTCTAAAATTTAGCAGCTTAAAACAACCATTTAAATTTTGCTCACAAGAAAGACAATTATATGATTTCACTCTTATGTGGAACTGAAGAAACAAAACAGAGGAACATAGGAGAAGGGAGGGAAAAATAAAATAAGACAAAATCAGAGAGGGAAACAAACCATAACTTAACTCTAGGAAACAAACTGAGGGTTTCTGGAGGGGAGGTCGGTGGGGGGATGGGGTAACTGGGTGATGGACATTAAGGAGGGCACTTGATATCATGAGCACTGGGTGTTCTATGCAACTGAGGAATCACTAAAGTCTACCTCTGAAACTAATAATACACTATATGTTAATTGATTTCAAATAAAATAAAAAATTAAAAAAAATAAATTTTGCTCACCATTTTGTGGGTCAAGATTTGGGGAAGGGGCTGAGTTCGATGCTTCTCCCTGGGGGTCTCATTCTACTGCATCAGATGGCAGCTGGGACTGGCCATCTGGAGGCTGCTGGGGTGGCCATCCCTGATGGCGCTCCCTCATGCGCCAGAACCCAGCTGGGCAGTTGACCTCAGCACCTCCACATGGCACACCCCAGCCTGGGGTCCCGGGGTACTTGGGCTGCTCCACAGAGTCTCAGGCTTCCTTCTGTTGGTTACCCGATAACCACGAAGTTTGGCTCAGACTCAGGCGACAGGACCATACGTACCCTGGCATCACTTGGAGAAGCACCCAAGCAAGGATTTGCTGGCATGTTTTAAAACCACCGCTGGTATGAACAAGGGGTCGACGAGAGTGGACGGAGAAGTCAGAGAGGCAGACGGGGAGTCCATATCCCCAGGGTGTCTTGGGCCACAAATGGGTTATTCTAAGTAGTCTGCAGCTGTGTTGCTAATCAACTGGAGGTGGCTGGGAGGAGGTGCGGGACCAGGAGAGAGGCTGGTGCTATCTCTGGGAGAGAAGATGGGCATGGACCAGGGTGGGGTAGTCTCAGGGTCCAGGGTATATTTTCAAGTTAGAGGGGTTGGGTCAGGTGGTTCAGGAGAAGGTGCGCTGGGTGGCAGAGTGGATGGAGGAGAAGGAGGGGAAGCTGGGACCAGGCCGATGGTTCAAGAGACAGAAGTCCTGCCTGGCTCAGGAAGGCCAGCTGGATACTGCAGAGATTGGGGTCCAGTGTGGCCTGGACTGGGGGTGACAGGCAGGCAGGGCTGGTCTATGTGGTGCTGGTCGCCAAGGGTTGCTAGGACGAGAGTCTGGCTAGGACAGAAGCAGCCACTGGGGGCAACCAGTGGGGAAACTAAGGCAGGCACTTGATGACTGGAGAGAGACCCCATCAAGCACCAGGGAGGCACGTACTGAGCGAAACTGGGTTTGGCTTGTAGTGCCTGCCTGCCTTTCTTTACTCCTTATTAGTTTAAATTTTTTAAATTTATAAATAATTAAATTTTTAAAATTATTTTTATATTAATTATTTTTATAAATAAATTAAATTTTATTTATAAATAATTAAAATTATTTATTTGGTTTGTCCATGGAGCAAAATTCAAAACCACCAGAGGTTTTTTCAATCGAAAAATTCTATTCTATTACGTACCATAGAATTAATCATTTAAAGTGTACAGTTCTGTGGCATTTAGTGCACTGACAATGTTGAAAGCGCCAGAGTTTTACAGTGAAAAGTCTCCTTCCCTCCCTAGTTCTTTGTGGTGTACACACACACACACACACACACACACACTTTCTCTTTATTTTCTGTACTACATACATTGCTCTGTTCCTTGCTTTTTGATACAGGCAACAATTGGAAAACTAACAATATCTTAGCAGATGTTTATTCTGTAACAGGCAATAAGACCTTTACATGTGTTCTCATTTAATCCTTGGACACATCCCATGAGGTAGGTACTATTATTACTTTCATTTAACAAATGAGGAAACTGAAGCACAGAAAGGCTGAGTAACTTGTCCAAGGACACATAGCTAGTGAGTGATAGAGTCAGTCTGGCATATGTAACATCCCTGACCTCCTCATCCTTTTACATAGCTTGTACGATGTTTTAAAATGAACTTATTTATTTTGTGATTCTTGTAGATTCATGTTGTAAGAAACAATCCCATGTGCCCAGTTCTCGGATTGGTAACATCTTTTTTTTTTTAATTTTAAGATTTTATTTTATTTATTTATTTGAGACAGAGAGAATGAGATACAGAGAGCATGAGAGGGAGGAGGGTCAGAGGGAGAAGCAGACTCCCTGCCGAGCAGGGAGCCCGATGTGGGACTCGATCCCGGGACTCCAGGATCATGACCTGAGCCGAAGGCAGTCGCTTAACCAACTGAGCCACCCAGGCGCCCCAACAACTCAATAATTTTTTTAAAAGATTTTGTTTATTTATTTGAGAGAGAGGCAGAGAGAGAGAGAGTGGGGGGAGGCATAGAAGGAGAGGCAGAGGGATTTTATTTTTTTATTTTAATTTTTTTTAAAGATTTTATTTATTTATTTGAGAGAGAGAATGAGAGAGAGAGAGCACATGAGAGGGGGGAGGGCCAGAGGGAGAAGCAGGCACCCTGCCGAGCAGGGAGCCAGATGTGGGACTCGATCCCAGGACTCCAGGATCATGACCTGAGCCGAAGGCAGTCGCTTAACCAACTGAGCCACCCAGGCGCCCCCGGATTGGTAACATTTTGCAAAACTGCAGCGCAGGGTCACAACCAGTTCGTTGACGTTGATAAAATCCACCATCTTGTTCGGCACAATGTTTAAAACCATCTTTTAAATGATTGCAAACATTTCCAAAATGAGGAGGTCTCACAAAAAGATTTCTGGCTTACCTTGAGCCATCAGAAGATGAGGTCTGCCAGGGAGACTGCAAGAGTGGCCGGGAGCGTGTATAGAGCCAGAGCTCTGGGTTCTGAGGGTTGAGATTCTAGCACCGCCAATGACCAGCTGGGTGGCCTGAGACAGTTCCCACCACCTCTCTCCACGTCAGCTTCCACATCCATAGAATGGGACAGTGAACTCCACAGGGCCGATGAGGCGACAAAGTGAACTGGATCACGTGATGTGCTCAGAAGCGTTAGCACTCAGAAGATGTTTGTTGTTCTTTACCAACCTTGCCTTGTGCAGGTACTGCACTGGGTGCTTACGCAACTCATTTGTGCCTCCTGCAGCCTGAGTGGTAAATTACCACCCACTTTTGTAGATTGGGACACAGCCCAAGGCCACAGGGCCGGTCAGCAACTGAGCTGGATTACCACCCAGATGTGTTGCTTTCCCGGGACCACCAGGATTCTATCGCTGTCGCTTCGGGGCCGTGAGTTAGACCAGGGCCTCAGTTTCCCCATCCGTAGCACAGGACTGATTGGAGCACTTTCTTGCAAAGTTGTTAATGAAATCGAGGATGAGAGCCATCTCCAGGTGGGCCCTTCACAGAGAGCTTTGGGAAGGGGATGAAGCAGTGTGTACCTCATTGGGAGTCAAGGAAGGTACACCTGCTGCTGGGGGTGCTTCTGCCATGCCCTCCACATGGGTGGCAGGGAGGAGGGGTACAAGGAGCACTGCCTGCCTTCTGCACAGACCCTGCATTCTGTGCCAGCTCCAGTATCACATGGCTCCCCATCATCAAAATACCAACCCAACATCGCCTGCCTGGGGTAAGACTGCCAAAGCAAACCCCAACATCAGAGCCCCACCAGCTCTCCAAAGCTGTGTCCTAGAAAACGCAACCCCTCAAGGCCAACACCCCACTAACAGGACAAACAGACTCCTATGTAGCAGTCTCCCCTGCATGAAGCCTGCCTCTCCCCAGAGCACTGCCCCCACCTCAGGTCAACACTGCAGGCAGCCAGGCTAGGGGCCAATGACCCAATGACCTATACTTGGCTCCTTCTGCGGGCCCTGGGCCCAATGAGGGGCTGGAGGAGGTGGCTCTGGAGCGGGAGGTCCCCGCCCAGGGGGACGATGACTGCCCAGTCTCTGCCTGGCCTCCCCACAGAGCTGGCCTCCGTCTCAGTCTCAGCCAGACATGTCCAGCCTCCAGGCACTATGCTCCGGCCTGCCACTGCAGCCCCTCCCGGAGAACCCGGGCCGCTGGGCTGGGGTGCCCCACGCACCGGTCAGGACCCCCGGCCTCAGCCCCGCGGAGGAGCAGGTAAGAAGTCGGGCCCCATTCCCGCCGGGGTCTTTTGCCCTCTGGGTGCCCTCCAGATGGTCCGGGTGGGCATTTCCTATTCCTGCTGTATCTGCGGGAGCTGCAGCTTCTCAACTCAACTTCCCACCCCTGCCGGCCAGGAGCTCCCGAGGGGGTGTCGACGGGACAGGGGGATCCAACGTGTTCCACCCTCGGCCCACCCACTTCCTCATTCTCTCCCCAACGGCCATCCTTGGGTGCAAGATTAGGGTACCCATTACTGATGTGGGGATCCTGAGGCTCAAGGTCACTCAGCCAGGAAGCAGCGGCTCTGTGGCTGCCTTCAGTCAGAGGAGTGAAGCCGGGGCGAAGTGCCCCAAAAGCATGGCAGCGCGGTGTACCCTCCTGCCCCAGACACGCACACGACTTTGAATCTACGAAGCCAGCTCTTGTCTTCGCCTGTGTCCCTCCCCGCAAATCTTGCAGTGAGTTTACAGCGGAAGGCTAGAACGGCAGTGGGGGCGCGATGATGCTGGTAGGAACAGGACGGAAGCCAGGTGTCCCCACCGTCGCCCACAGCCCCGAGAGCCCGGCCGGAGACGGCCTGGGACTGGGGGCGCTCCAGCCAGCACCCCGGGCAGGTCTGACCGTCTGGGAGCACACTTGTCTCCCTCGTAAGCTGGGGGGGCGGGGTGGATAATTACACCACGCGGTAGTGGAGGCCCGATGAAATGAAGTAGGTGGCACGGTTATATCAACAGTATTCTCCTTTTTCTTTACTCAGAATTACTGGAGAGTTTCAGGAACAGTGTGTGTGGGGGGGGGGGATAGAAAATATAAGTAAGCACAGGGCGCCTGGGTGGCTCAGTTGGTTGAATGACTGCCTTCGGCTCAGGTCATGATCCTGGAGTCCCGGGATCGAGTCCCACATCGGGCTCCCTGCTCGGCAGGGAGTCTGCTTCTCCCTCTGACCCTCCTCCCTCTCATGCTCTCTGTCTCTCAGTCTCTCTGTCTCAAATAAATAAATAAAAAATCTTAAAAAAAAAAAAAAGAAAATATAAGTAAGCACAAACATTAAAAAAGGAATCACACAACCCCACCCCAGATAAAGACTGCTGCGCTTCAGCGGCTGCCCCTAAACTTTCTGCCCAGCGCTGCTCACAAAGTGGGGGCGGGGCGCTGGGGGGGGCGCTGGGGCGGGGAGGGGGCGGGGCTGGGCGGAGCTGGCACAGGAGAAGGGTGGAGGGGGTGCGGGGGATGAGGGGTGTTGCGCTCGGGGGCTCTGGGGCAGGGCTGGGCGGAGCTGGCACAGGAGAAGGGTGGGGCGGGGTGCTGGGGGTGAGGGGTTTTTTGAGGGCGGGGCGCTGGGGCGGGGCTGGGCTGAGCGGGAGTTAGGAGAAGGGTGGGGGCGGGGTACTGGGTGTGAGGGGTGTTGCGTGGGCGGGCTCTGGGGCGAGGTTGGACGGAGCTGGCGCCAGGGAAGGGTGGGGGCGGGGCGCAGGGGAGTGCGGGGTGTTGCTGGGGGCGGGGCGCTGGGCCTGGCTCCACCCCCTTTATGGGGCGGTGCTTATCTCGCCCAGCCCAACTACGTCAAGGTAGTCATTAAAGCTTCCTCCCCCTGGGTCACCTCCCCGCTGGGTGCTAAGGCCTCGACTTTTGACCTTGAGGGCCTGGAGGGCTCTGCCACCTGCCCATCTCAGGTGATACTTTTTTTTTTTTAAGATTTTATTTATTTGACAGAGAGAGAGAGAGACAGCCAGAGAGGGAACACAAGCAGGGGGAGTGGAGAGGCAGAAGCAGGCTTCCGGCTGAGCAGGGAGCCCGATTCAGGGCTCGATCCCAGGACCCTGGGAACATGACCCGAGCCGAAGGCAGACGCTTAACGACTGAGCCACCCAGGCGCCCCTCAGGTGATACTTTTAGGGCTGTGTGATGGCCTCTTGTGCTGGGAGGAGGGCACCCAGGAGCTGAGGAGCTTGGTCACCTCATCTTTGCCCTGGGTATGTTGCCATTTGCTTGAAGGACACAAAACCCCTGGAGGAGGGGCTACTTGCAGGTCTGGGAGTTTGGACTGTTGAAGCCACTAAACCTTCCCTGGGGTACCAGGGTCAGCCAGCCTTCCACTGGTGCTTGTGAAACAGTAAGAAAGATGTATGTTGACCTCTGCCCAGACCCCTCTTCCTGCTAATGCTTGGTCTTTGACCCCCGTTCCTGACACAAAGCTCCTAAATTCTTTGGAATTTCCTGGGTGATAGGAGCCTCTTTTGTTCTAAGGAAGCCACTGTGGGTGGGCTCCTAGAGGGGGGCTGGTCACCAAAAAGACCATTCCATGATTAGAAACTTGGAACTTTGGGCCCCACCCCCCATTCTCTGGAGAGGGGAGAGGGGTGAGAAATCAAGTTAATAATCCATCATGCTTTGTGCCGAAGCCTCCACAGAAATCCCTTAACCACAGGGTTCAGAGAGCTGGGTTGCTGAACACACTGAAGTGCTGGGGCAGGTGTGGTGCCCTAAAAGGGCATGGAAGCTCCACGCCCCTTCCCCAGACCTTGCCTTGTGTACCTCTTCGTCTGGCTGTTCATCTGTATCCTTTCTCATATGCCTTATTATATAATAAACCAGTAGACATGTTTCTCTGAGTTCTGTGAGCTGCTCTAGCAAATTAGGAACCCAAGGAAGGAGGCTGTGGGAGTCCTGATATGTAGCTGGTTGGTCAGAAGTACAAGTGCAAGCCTGGGATGTGTGACCAGCATCTGAAGTGGGAGGGGCAGGTTTTGGGACTCAGTGTGTTAGCTCCCGGTGTGAGCTGACTCCGCGTAGATGGTGTCAGAACTGAATAGAATCTTAGGTCCCCCAGCTGGTGGGGAGAATTGGTCATGTGGGGAAACCCCTCAAACCAGTCACAGAAGCGTCCTGTGTGAGAACACTCCCCTTAGAGAAGAAACACGAGAGGCAGTCCCAAACCCAGTGACTTCATCAGCAGCTCGCTTTATACTTTTCCTTCAGCTTGTTTTCAATTCTTTCAAAATTTAATGTGTCTCTTTGATTTTTGACATAAACTTTCCAGGTAATTTTGTCAGATAAGGAAGTCAAGTATTATAATCGTGGAAGTTCCCCACTTCTCCTGAGTCACCATGGCCATTTTTTGGCATATCATCCACACACATTCTGTGTACATACAAAATGTGTGTGTGTCCTTCTTAAGAATATAGACACATTCTATACACGTCAGTTTTTTTTAGGTGTTCGTTATTGGTGAGTTTAGAGTTGTCCCATACTTGTAACTGGTGCGCAGTATTTCATTACTTGGGTGCGCTTCACTCTTTGTTCTTCTTTAAGTAGATTTCTCTGTTTAAATATAGAGTATGGTCTGGCTATAATTTTAGTCAGTGTATTCTCAGCACAAACACAGGACAGCTTCTATAGTGCAGAGGGAAATTTTCGTTGTGTCATAGGAGCAGTTGCTCTACTAGAAATGTCTTTAGCACCCCCTGGTGCCATACGCAACTACCCTTAGTGACCTTTTCTCCAAATCCTGCCCCACCTGCGGGGGCTATTCTGGACATCAGATACCCAGACCTGAAGACCTCCCACCTGTGTCCATGTCCCCATCACTAATAACACACTATGTTGAGCTTCTTGAGAGTGGGGATCTGTTGGGTTCATTCCTGGGTCTTCAGTGACACCAGTACTTGTTTGTTGAATGAACAGGCAAGAGTCTATGCTAAGTGCTCCAACCAAATCCTACAAGAGTTTAGTGGGCAGGAGAAACCTAGGAGGGCCTCTTGGAGGAGGTGGTCATGGCAACATGGTCAAGATTCTTAGACTGGGAAATCCAAAAAGGAAGGCCATTTGGAGACAAAGGGGGGCAGTGAGTGAACATGCAGAGAAGGGCCTGTCCAAAGTATCATGGGGGTGAAGGAGGCCCCGTGTAGGTCCAAGCTGGCTATGGAGCTTGGAGAGTCAGGCCCAGCCAAATTATTGAGGACCCTGAAAGCCAAAAGCAGTGGGGACTTTATCAGATGAGTAATGGGTATCCCTTGAGGGTTTCTGAGTAGGGGCATGACCTGCTGCTTAACAATACTCCCCAAAGAGAGTATAAAGGTTTCTACAGATTTCCTAAAAGGGCAGGGTGGGCAAGAGGCCAACTAGAAGAAAGAATTGGCAGCACGGAGGGCCATGAGTGTGGGAGATGATTATTTTGATGGCTGGCAATCCCATGGTACGTGTATGTGCCAGACTCTGTTCACTTAGTCGCCAAGACAGCCTATGACGTGTGTGCTGTTATTGTGCTCATTTTCCAGGAGAGGAGACTGAAGTTCAGGGACGTGAAGGGTGCCCCATAGCCACCCCTCTGGGATAGACCGAGATCTGAAGAGCCAGAGCACTGTAGCTGCAGCCTGGGCAGAGGCTGCCCCACCCGCAGCTAGGAAGCACCTGAGCCACAGTTTAGACCCAGGAGGTCCTGCTCCAGTTCAGGCCAGAGCTGGCCTAATGAAGCCTGAGCAAGAGTGGGTGCGAGGACTGGGGTGATTCAAACAAGGCCACGCCAGGTGGATCATGGCCATGATTTTTGACAGAAAGAGTGAAGTCAAAAACTTACAGGTGCCAGTTAGGACGGAAGGAAGGCCTAAGCCGAGTTCTCTCCCCCTCCCTCTCTTCTCTCTCTCCCTGTCTGTCTGTCTGTCTGTCTGTCTCTCTCTCTCTCACACACACACACACACACACACACACACACACACACACACACACACACACTGTTCTGTGAGCTAACCAATGTCGCAGGCTGGTATCCTTTTAGGTGATCAGCCACGACCCAGGAAAGATTTGCTTATGGCAAAAGTACCACTGTTCCCAAGACAGGATTCTGTCACTGTCTATTATTTTCCTAGGGCTGCTGTTAGAAATCTGAAATGGGTTTCCTTGGGCCACAGGCAAGCAACACTAATGTGTATGCAAGGATATTGAAATCATGCTTGTTCTTTTGCTCTCTGATTGAGTCTTGTGATTCCCATTTTCGGGGCGCAAATATTACACATGAGATTGTCCTGGTTTATGTTTACATGTCTCAAAAGTTCGTGATATATTTTCAGTAGCATTAAATATATTGTAAAATATCAAGTTAAAAAATATATGCAGCAGGGCTGCATTCCTTCTGGAGGCTCCGGGGGGTTGGGGGTGGAGTGGGGGTGGATTTCTTTGTTTGCCTTTTCTAGCTTCTAGAGACTGTCTGCGGGTTTTGGCTTGTGGCCTCATCCTGTCTTCCATCTTCAAAGCCACCAGCGTAGCCAATTCAAATCTCTTTTTCTGACTCAGAAAAAGAGTCCTCTTACGAGAAAAAGAGTCCTCTTACGAGGACTCTGGTGAATATATAGGGCTGAGCTGGGTAATGCAGGATAATCTCCCATCCTCAAATCCTTAATCTGCAAAATCACATCTGTTTTGCCTTGTAATTTAACGTATTCATAGGTTCCAAGGCATAGAGTGCAGACGTCTTTGGGGGCCGTTATTCTGCCCACCACACCATTAGGCATCCAGAATTCTCCAACCTGATGACTAAACCCAGGACATTCTATGAATTAATCCTATGAATTCCCCCTAAGGGAACAGGCCACTGAGTTTGTTAGATTTTCAGGCCTATTGAGGCCAGGTGGGAGTGGGGAGTTGTCTAGAATATTCTTTCCAATTTATGTGTCTTGAATGCATCTGATTTTATCAATAAGAACCCACTTAGAACATGTATTATATGATTAATGGGCCATAATTTCACCAATGATAATTCACCTCTGACATTTTTTTTTTTTTTAAGGATTTTATTTATTTATTTGACAGAGAGGGAGAGAGAGAGAGGAAGCATGAGCAGGGCGAGGGGCAGAAGGAGAGGAAGAAGCATGTGGGACTTGATCCCAGGACCCTGGGATCATGACCTGAGCTGAAGACAGACACTTAACCGACTGAGCCCCCCAGGCGTCCCAACCTCTGACATTCTATATGCTGCACAGCAGACCCTCTGATGTAGACTGAGATTTGGAGAACTGAAGTACTCATGGTCACATCCTGTGATTAGCATGCCAGCTGACCACCCAGGACATGAGTTGCCAAGTAGGGTGCCTGCTGGCTCTCCCCGTGGGTGTTGTGATATCTTAAAATAAACCAAAGTCCTCTAAACAAGGAAGCTACAAAGCCGGGTTAGGGAGGAAGCAAGAACTACTCCTTAGGTTCTGGTTTAGGGGTCTTTAAAAGAGCCGGTGAGTAGAGGCGCTGTGTGCTGGACAGTGCGCATTTTCTCCTCTGATCCTTTTGACTACACAGTTGAGTAGGCCATGCCAAGAGATGAGGAGACTGAGGCAGGGGTGAGCAACCCAGGGTCACACAGTAGGTGGCAGGGCCAGGGGCAGGCTCAGCTCTGGCTGCTGTTCATGCTTCTCAGGGGGCCGCCGACCCTGTCACTACACCCAGCCTTTCCTCACTGAGCCTACTCTGCAGAGGTCCCCAAGGTCCCTGGGTACCTGGGCTCCCCCATAGTCCTGCCTCATGCCTGTGGTGGGATCTTGGGCAGATACAACCTGTCTGAGCACCATTTTCTCATCTTAATGCTGAGAGTTGCTCCCAATAAGAGACTTGGAGCATTGAATCCTGGCCAGCAAACAGATCTGCTGCTTTGTGAATTTTTTCACAAGAAATATTTACTGCATGTCTATTACATAACTCTAGACATAGGGGACAAAGTTATCGAACAAAACTATAATAGAAGACAATGTTCCTGAACTAAGTAAAAACATGAAATTGTCGATAAAAAGATACAGTTTATCCTGGAAAGAGAAAAAAATGAAAATCTGATGTAGGATAGTTGACATTAAGACATATCTAGACTAAATTAGTGAATTTCGGGGATAAAGAAAAATTCAATGGTCATAAAATGGAAATCTTATGCAAGGGGAAAATATGGCACCCAGAGATTTTGTGCTGCATTTAGGATTCAGGAACTTGCCAGAATCCCCTTTATGTGTATGGCATACATGCATTCTTCCTTCAGAACAGGCTGAATTTTTTACAGCGTTTAAAGACATTTTGAAGAATGGCCAAGTTATTTCTATCAATTGATACATTTTAAAAATCATAGAATTTGACAAGTTTGAGTCCAGGACCTCGGTAAGTTCAAGTGAAGCCGGCCCTGCTGTGAGGACATCGGATTCCCACTGTGCTGCCCCGTTAGCGGGTTGTGAAATCTGTTTAGGGGGTTGCAGTCAGTATTAGAAAATGAAATAAAAGAAACTAGAACAGGATAGAATACATTAGGAACTATGTAGTAAGGTCAAGTCTTGTGTAGATTTTGTGTGTGTGTGTGTTATGTATTGCTTTTGAAACTTCTCTTTAAATGCTCAGTTTCACTTGAAAAGCTCTTATGAGAAGCTCTACACCAGCTAGAAAACAACAGTAATCTTTGTGTTGAGGTGTACATGCACAGAAAGCAGCCAAAACCACGTGTGCACAGATGTGAATGTCACAGGTGCACAGGGAGAGGGGGACAGACCCGGGCCTTGAAGGGGGACCGCTGTCCTGACGTCTAATGCGTGGCTTGGCCTATCAACAGAGTTATGCAGTGTGTCCCTTAAGTGTGGGCTTCTTTCACTCAACAGCAGGTTGGGAGAGGCTGCCCGGCCGCTGCATGTCGCTGTGGATGGTTTATCCTCGTTGATACCCTGTAGTGGTTCCCAAAATGGGGTCCCCGGGCCAGCAGTGGCAGCACCAGGGAACTGGTCAGAGACGCAGATCAGAGGCTGCACCAGACCCTCTGGGTGATTCCGACGTCTGCTGGAGTGTGAGACCCTCCTGCTGCAGCATATTCCTAGCCACTCTTCTTGAGGGAGAAACTCCTATTTCTCATCAGTTGTTTTTCCAAGGGAGAAGGGATGATGCATGTCTTTTCCACATGAAAATTAACGCCCTGAGCTGGGGTTTTCTTTATGGCCTCTCTTGCCATCTGCTGCCTCCTGATTACCCATCTCCTTTCTTTCCTCCTATCCCACCCAGCCCCTAAGGCCCCAGTGACACCCTCGTCCCTCAGTCCTGGGTGTGTCTTACCCAGGCAGCGTTGGACCTCTGGGTGCATTGCACAGGTGGTTCTGCTCCTAGCCCTCTGCCCCAGGCACCTGCGCTCCTGGCTAGACATCCAGTGCCATCTCCCTGGTAGTACTTCTGTCCCTGCCCAAATGCTGGCATACCTAGTCCTGGGCCCTAGCGTCTTCTCCCATCACCTGCTGCCTCCCCGTGTCCAAAGCCTACCTATCTTCCTCAAGTATCACACCACCTCTTCCCTCAGCAGATAGGCACTGAGTGAATGAGGGAATAAATTCACCACACCCAGCTCCTCATCTCCCCACCCCCAAAGCGCTTTGTGCCCCAGGGTCAGCTGGTTGAAGAAATGGCCTCCACATCCACCCAGACACCAGGCTGTCACCTTGGTCCCCTCTCGCACTTTGCCTGCCTCCAGGCTCTAGTCCAGGTGTTGGAAGGAAGAGTGCTATGAAGGGGTCTGCCAGGACTCCCGCCCTCCTTGAACTTAGCAAGACAGATTGTAAGCGATAAAACAAGCAACCCCTAGAACATCCAACAGTGAAAAGCTTGGGAAGGAGACAGAGGCAGGGGGAGAGCCTGGGAGTCAAGAGGGGAAGGTCAAGGCAGCCCACTGCAGAGCAGGGGCATCTGGACTGAGGCTTGAGTAGAGGAAGAGACCCTCCAAGAGAAGGCAGGGTGGCAGAGTGGGTTTAGGCAGAGGGAAGGGTAAGTGCCAAGGCCCTGCGCCAGGACCAGGACCCTCAGGGACGTCTGGAGGATTGACAAGAGGGTTTGGGAGTTGGTCTGGATGAGAAGCCCTGGGAAGGTTTCTTCTTTCTCTTGGCCTGCTGTCCCTGGCTCCAGGCTCTGCCCCAGGCCTGCCTGGATCTGGAGGGATCTCACTTCCGGAGCTGCAACTGTGCAGTTGTGCATTGTCTGAGGCTGGTTGCCAAGCTGGGCGCTGATGCAGTGTTGCTTCTCTACACTTGCACAAGTTGGCCGTGGGCTCCTGGCAGATCTGCTTTCCCCACCGTTGAGTCTGCATCTCCCACTGTAGCTGCAAGCCTCAGGGCAGGCCCCTCTCTCTCTGGTCCTTGACTGGGATAAACAAATGCAGGGACTAGAGATCTGCCTACATGAAGCGGGGAGGACAATCAGGGAAGGCTTCTTGTAGGAGGTGACATTGTAGATGGGCTTGAAGTGAGAACTAGGTAGTCTCTGGGTGGGGGCATAGGTTTCTCAGTGGAGCAGAGGCGAATCTCAGTAGGGAAAGGGGATGGCCTCACAGTGTTTGGCCTGGAGATCGCCCGCCTCCATCTGCCCCTCCCCCTTCTCCTCCCCCAGTTGGCGCTGAGGAATGCCCTGCGCTACTTCCCCCCGGATGTCCAGGAGCTACTGGCCCCTGAGTTTGCCCAGGAGCTGCGACTGTATGGGCATATCTACATGTACCGGTTCTGCCCTGACATGAAAATGAGGTCAGTGCTGGGGGGTGCAGCGTCAAAGGGGGCCCCGAGTGGGCAGCTCATGAGAGGGACGGAGCTGGAGGTCAGCCGGGGGGAATCCAGGCTATCCACACTAGGAGGCCCACAGCTGTGGCGAGCTGAGTGGACAGCCCTCACACAGAGGGGGGGGTTGCCGTGTTGTCGTCTGTGGGGGTTCTGTAGCCTCGAGTTGGCTACAGCCGCCAGCCTGGCCAGGAGATGAGGGAATCCTTTTCAGACAGGTGTCTCTGACCTACCGTCCTGGGGAGTCAATCCTGAGCAATTCTGGAGCCAAATTGTATATGAAATCCCTTTCCTAAACTTCATGCCTTGTCCTACCGAGAGATGAGGAGAGCTTTAAAGGGATGGCTCTGTCAGTGTCCTCAAACAGCTTAGGTTCCGCATTAGGGGGGTCTCAGGCTGAACGGTGCATGGCACTGGAGGCCTTGTAAAAAAAAGGTAGATGGCTGGGCCTCACCCTACATTGTGGATTCAGCAGTTCTGGGGGGTGGGGGCCCGAGGGTCTGCCATTCTCATGGTTCCCAGACAATGCTGCCCCCACCCAGAGCTCACACTCTAAGCACCACTGTTCTGGAATATGCTGAGGCCCAGACTTGTCTGGAACCACCCCAGGGAATGTAATTCTCCCCATAAAGTAGGAGCCACATCCCCTCACTCCTGTCAGGGCCTGTCGGCCTGGCATCTGCTCTAGAATTGATGCCCAGGAGCACTGGTGGCATGAAGGAAAGAAGGGATGAATAAACTCCATCTGGAGTAGAGGCTTCTGGAAGGCAGACATCAGCTTTGCTTCATCCATTTTCTCCCAGTTGGACCTTGCCAAGTGGGGACAAGGGGTGGTGCAGCTGGGTAGGGACCTAACTCCCCATCAGGGGAGGGGAACAACGTGAGCACCAGAGTGGGCTGGCCTGGATGGTTTGGAACTGCCATCTGCTGGCAACTCCCGGGCGACTTCGGCAGGATGCCGTCTGGCTGTCCACACCTGCGTGGCCAGGTGCTGGGCTGTGGCCAGCGTGGGCCTGAGCTTCAGCGGGCAGGGAGCCTGGTGCCCTCCCATCGTCACACCTGGTGGCTGGACTCCCCTTGCAGGGCCTACCCGATCGGGCAGTACCCCTGCCGGACAAGAGCTGCTGCAGCCATCATGCACATGATCATGAACAACCTGGACCCTGCCGTGGCCCAGGTAACAACCGGGGGAAACTGAGGCCTGGGGCCAGCACTGCCCAATAGAAACGTAACTCAAGACATACGTATAATGCTTTTAAGCTTTTGATTTAGAAACAAAGATAGATTCATAGGAAGTTGTAAAGATAGTGGAGAGGGGACCACTAAACCTGCTTCCAGCTTCCCCCAGTGGCTGTATCTTCTGTGACTACCACACAGCATCAACATTGCTATAATGGACACACATGTCATTTTAAATTTTCTAAAAGCCTCATGAAAAAGTAAAAAACAAACAAACAGATTTACTATTGTATTTTGTTTATCCCAATGTACCAGAAATATTATCATTTTAACCTGTAGTATAAACATTATTGAAATATTTTACAACCTTTTTTCCTACTAAGTCTTTGAAGTCGGGGTGTATTTTACATTCAGAGCACGTCAGACGAGCTATGGTTCAAGTGTTCGATAGCCACACGTGGATGATGCCACCCAGTCTGGCCATGTGTGTCCGGCACGGGCGTCCTTGGGGGCCAGGCTGTACGTCAGATGCCCATTTTGAGAAAGGATAGCCTTTGCAGGGGTGTGTCCAAGTATTAAACTTGAGGGCAATATGGTCCTAGAATTTGAATGTTCCACCTCGAGGCGAGAACTTCCTCAGCCCTGGCCCTGGCCTCAGAACCTGGTCACAGACGGACCCCTGACATTGACCCTGGGCTAAGTTCCCAGAGGGACCCCAGATCCAGGTCTGACCCTCACCTCACACTGAGCTCTTACCTGGTCACAGGTGGGCCAATGTTCCCTGGGCCTCGCCCTTTCTGCCTTCTCTCCCTGCCCTTAACACTCCTTCTTCAAGGGCCATCAGCCACCTTGCCCTCTTGAGCACAGTGCCGAGGTGGGGGCCCTCCCAGGCCCCCATCTCAGATGATACCATGTCTTCTCCAGTTTCCCCAGGAGCTCGTGACCTATGGAGGAAATGGGCAGGTGTTCAGCAACTGGGCTCAGGTATGCTGGACTGTATGGCTTCCCCCCACCCCACCCCACGTCTTCTGGCCTGGTAGGAGCTTACAACCAGGGCTCAGGACTCAGGTCTCTGCCTCCCTGTTGCCTGAGAGGACAACACTGGAGATACTCAGTTACTGACAGTTCCAAGGTCATGAATGGCAGTATTGGAGGCACCAAGAGCCACTGGAGAGTAATGAAGGCCTGGAGGGATGGGGCACTGGCAGCACTTCTAGGGCTGTGGGAGCTCTCTGGGCCTGGGTGGGGACTTGGGGTGCGGCGTGCCCCCCCCCTTACAGAGCCCTCCATGTTTCCTCTCCCCTGCAGTTCTGGCTGACAATGTCCTACTTGTCGCAGATGACGGAGGAGCAGACCCTGGTCATGTATAGTGGACACCCACTGGGCCTCTTCCCGAGCAGCCCCCAGGCCCCCCGGCTGGTCATCACTAATGGGATGGTGGGTCCTGGGGCAGCTGGGCATTGTCCTGCCTTGGGGTGGGAGAGCCAGGTGCCCCCAACACCTGCCTCCCCATCATTCCCTCTGTGAGCCCCCAGCCCTTGGCTCCCATCCCTCTTTTCCAGGTCATTCCCAACTACTCCTCCAGGACAGAGTATGAGAAGCTCTTTGCCGTGGGAGTTACAATGTAAGTCCTATCTCACTATTGCAGTTTATATGAGGGTGTTTCCACCTCAGCCATGTGGTGGCTATGTAGCAACATTAAAAACAATTTGAAAAACCCTCACAATGGCAGCACCAAAGCACAATTGCCTGTTGACATATTCCCTAGGGGTTTTGTGGATATGCATACTACAGTTTTTATACACTTGCGAGCAAGTGAACAATTTGGATCCTGCTTTTTCCCAACATTTCGTTATGTTATGAACAATTTCAAATAGACAAAACATTGAAAGAATTAACAGTGAATACCGAGATTCTGTGTTTAACACACTACCAAACTCTGTGTCCCGTGTCTATCTACCCATCCCTCTATCCATCTGTCTGACTAACTTGGCTTTTGATGCGTCTCAAAGTAAGCTGTAGATATGATGGCCTGGAATTCAGTATTTGTTTACAGGGTTTTTTTTTTTCCTTTTGAAGTAAAATTTACATGAAATGCACACATCCTAGTGCACCATTTGATAAGTTTGACAAATGTGTGCACCTTGCAACCCAAACTCCAAGATACAGAGCACAACCATTTCATCTGTCGTAAAATTAATGCATGCTCTAAATTGAAAGCTTTTCCCTCAAACATTATGAAAAGAGCTACAGTGGAAGGGAAATCCCTCTCCCACCCTATACTCCCCATTTCAGGCGAGTAAAGGCTGTGGCTTTCCAAACATTTCTTGCTCACATGGTTACAGGTTTAGGTAGACCGTTGCAGGCCCTCTGCACTAGCCTTTCCACCTTTGACGATATCGTTCCATTTAAGGGAACGTGAAAGTCTAATTAACCCGTATTTTACCTGCAATGTTCAATTGTAGCATGATTTATTTGACCCCCTTGCCACCTGATTTGGGTTGTTTCCAGTTCTTTGGGCTTATAAAGAATGCTACAGTGAATGTCCTGATCTGTATATTTTTGTGGATCTCTGGGAGTGTTGCTCTGGACTAATAACCATGTGAAGTTGTTACTGGGACCAACAAAGTGGGTCCACTCCTCGGAGAGCTATAGACAGAGATCACGCCAGGTGGCGTTGCCTCACAAAGTCACTTTATTCGCAGAAATACGGACATCACAGGGAATAACGTCCAAACCACTCTCCCAGCAGGGGCAAGCAGGCCCCTTTTAGTAGGGTTTTTCAGAGGGTGATTTTAATATTATAATGAGGCTGCGGTAACTGTCAGGCACTTTCTGATTCATCTGCACAGGGGGTTGTTCTCAAATGTTTCTACTCCCATTCCAGTAGTTCCTTCCTTAGTTTCTAAAAGAGGAAATTGACAGGCAGGAGCCTCTAGGCATTTCCTGAGTTCAGAGTCAGTCCTGAGTTCAGGTGTTTGAGGGGCCTCACCAGTGACCAAGGGTGATCAGGTCTGTCGTATTGGGAGTCAGTTAACCAGGCCTCAGGCTAGTACTTTATAATATAATCATCATAATAGTCACTACCATGTGTCTTAAGATTTATAGATACCTTCACATTTGGTCCTCTACACAAGCCTCAGCACTGGGTGCCCTTCTTCGTCCATTTTGTGCAGGAAGAAACCGAGGCTCAGAAACCCAATTATTTTTCTGGTTAGTCATAAGTAGTTACTATTATTATTATTTACTAGGAGGCCCCACCGCCTCTTCTGTGTCAGTGGAAGCAGCCGCCAGGTCAGAGGGGCAGGATCTGTGTCCTGGATCCGCTGCCTCCTAAGTGTGACTTTGGACAAGTTGGTATGCTTCTGTTTCGTAGGTTCAGGATGGAAGTTTAAAGAGAGTGGAACTGCAGAGTCAGACCTGGTCTGCCACACCTGAGGGTTGACCCAGGTGCTGTGGGCAATTGGCTAAATGGATGCAAATTGCCCACAGAGGTGGGAAGAGGTTTACATGTATACGGGATCTGAGAACCTCTAACAGAAGCAAAGCCGGCCTTTTCACTGTCAGGCTGACAAAACAAAGCTACAGAATACAACGAGTACTAGGGAGGATGTGGGAAAACAGGCAGTCACAGATTGTGGGTGGTCTAGGTCAGTACAGCAAGGCTGGGGGTGGCCAGGAGGACTACATCTAGCAGCTGGGGTCAAAGTTCCCAGTGAAGTTAACTTGATCCCACAATTTTACCTCCAGGAGTTATTTTGGGAGCAACATGCAGGGGATAACTTGAGCACAAAGGACCGAATCAGACGGATTTAAAATCAGTTCCCAGCTCTGCTGCATATCCCTGTATAACCTTGGCACTTGGATCCTATCTATAAAGAGGGGATTTAATAGCTCCTGCCTCAAAGAGTTGTGTGAGAATTCATGAAATGATAGAAGGGACACCCTTTTCCACGTGACACAAAGGGAGCCCTTGAGCCCTCTGCTTGAGTTGATGTGGGCTCACTAGGGAGCACACCCTGTGGCAGAGGGTAGGGGGCCCATGCAGCCTTGTGGGCGGTTATGATGGTTTCACCCATCTCCCTGGGTGGGTATTTATTATCTTAGCACTGTTTTTTATGTTGTTTAATAGACAACCTTCCAAGGTAAGGATAATGCCTCCCCCTTTTTTGGAAGAAGATGCAGAGGTTCCACATGGCCTGGTGCCTTATCCAAATTATGGGATAGACTTGGCATCAGGCACAGAGCTGCAAGAATCAGGATCCACCGTTGATCCAGGAGAGAGGAGGGGCTGGGGAGAGTTGCTGGGGGACAGGAACCCGGTAGAAAAGAGATAGGGAGTTGAAATTGACGAAGGAGAAAAGCAAGCGTCAGTAAGCCCTGGAGCATCTTACCTCAGTGGTCCTCAGGGAAGAGGAAGGTTAAGGCAACAGAAGAATGCAGTCCTTCCCCCATTGCATTGCCAGAAAATACAAGTGTTTGATAATTATCAAGTGATGGACACAGACATGCTCATGCATTGCAGGTGACAGTTACTTTGGCATTTGAGAGTATCTATTCATATTTGAAATGTTTGCACCCGAGGACCCAGCTCTAGTCCTTCCTGATTCCTTCGCTGGGCCTCGGGAGAGGGGGAGCAGGCAGCTCACTGCCACTTCAGTGTTGGTAGTTTGCATAGTGAGACCGCAGGGGGCAGGGGAACATTCTGTGGCTTCTGATATTGCGTGCTGCGGAGCCATGAATAGGAAAGAGCAGGATCTGTGTGTGCCGTGGTGGAAAGGACTGCACCGCTGATGTGCCCTGCGCGGACACAGTACCGCTCGCTACCTACGCAGTGGGGCCGTTTATGCAAATAACACTGATACTGATGACAACGGTGACCCACATGCAAACGGTGCTCCCAGGGCCCTTCGCGGCAGTCAGCCTCACCAAGGCACGGCACAGCGGCTCGGTGAGCTCGGATACACGCGTGTGCCGTGCCAGCCCCTCTCTGAAGACACCACCCCTGCCTCCTGCAGCTTCGTGCCGCCCTCCAGCAGGTAGACTCCCCAGTGGAAGGTCACCGAGGGTCATAGGATGGAATCCCACAGAACATACTCTTTCACGTCTGGCTTCTTCACGGAGCCACTTGACACACAGTAGGACTTCGGTTGTTTTCTTTGCCACGTAGCATTTCGTTGTGTTCATATGCTGCCATCACTTCTCTGTCCTCTGTGATGGGTGATCCAACAGTTTCATGGGGTGGCCGCTTTAAACAGTGGTGTGCGTGTCTTTACATGGGTGTGAGCCTGGACCGTGGAAGTGCTGGGTCTCGCTCAGCCTCCGCTGATATGGCTCAATAGTCCCCAAAGTGATTTTACCAATTATAGTACAATTTTGAATAAAACAAAATTTGTTATAAAAGATCCAGGAGGTCAGAGGGGACCAGAATTGGGGGACTGTAGCTTTATCTCTGTTTACTTTTTTTTGAAGGAAAATGTATTAATGCATTTGGGGGTAATTAAAAAGGAATTTTAAGCCATGTAATGTGGAAGCCGTGCCTGGCTCTGGGCTCACCCCTGGCCTTGCCTTGTCTATGGTCAGGTACGGCCAGATGACCGCAGGCAGCTACTGCTACATCGGTCCCCAGGGAATCGTCCACGGCACAGTGGTGAGAAACAGGGCCACGCCTGGCTGCAGGGGTGGGAGGCTGATGTGCTGGAGGGGACAGCAAGCGCCTACGTCTTCTCCCGGCAGCTCACCGTGTTGAATGCGGGCCGACGGTACCTGGGTGTCAAGGACCTCACTGGTAAGGTCTTTGTCACCTCCGGGCTGGGCGGAATGAGTGGCGCTCAGGCCAAAGCTGCAGTCATCGTGGGGTGCATCGGTGTGATAGCAGAGGTGAGCCCGGCAGGAGCCCGGTCCCTGCCCCCGGGCTTCCTCCCTCCATCCAGAGCCGCTCACAGCTCTTTCTTCTCTCGCCATCGCCGCCCCAAAGCCTCCCAGTGTGAGTTCCCACGGCAGCATATGCCCGCTGCCTTCAAAGTGCCCATCACCTTCCATGGTCAATGCCTGCTGATGCTGTCCCGCGAAACTGACCTTCTGTGGGCACTTCTTCCCCTATCCCACCGAATCCCGGGAATTTGGCCGGTGGATAATGAATGTGGATAAATGAGCATAGACTTCCCCACTCAGACAGGTCAGAGTCAGGCATCAGTGGAAGTGTGTGCAGGCGGCTCATGCTCAGCGGCTCTCACGGCTTTCTTGGGGAGTGCCAAGGACAGAAGGGAGGCAAAGCCTTCTGTCCTTGGCACTCCCCAAGAAAGCCGCGAGGGGGCTTTCTGGTCCGTGAGAGGGGGCTTTCTTCTTCTTCTTTTTTTTTTTTTTAAAGATTTTTATTTATTTATTTGAGAGAGAATGAGAGACAGAGAGCATGAGAGGGAGGAGGGTCAGAGGGAGAAGCAGACTCCCCGCCGAGCAGGGAGCCCGATGCGGGACCTGATCCAGGGACTCCAGGATCATGACCTGAGCCGAAGGCAGTTGCTTAACCAACTGAGCCACCCAGGCACCTGAGAGGGGGCTTTCTGATCCAATGCCCCAACCTTGGGGGCTGCTGATCCAATGCCATTTCCCCCAGGAGAGGAGGCGAGGAACTTTAAGACAAACCTTGGTTGGGGTTGGGGGTACTTTCTCATGGGAGATGTATTTCCAGCTTTCAGGGGGACAGAGGACGGCCCGAGTGTCCTGGCACAGGTGTCTCTTAAGCAACTTGTATTTAGAATAATCAATATGCCAGAGTGGAACATTTTGGGGAGCCTGCCCTTGGCCCCTACACGGAAAATAAGTTATAGCAACTAATACTAGCTTTCTCAGAGCTCATCCCCGGGAATCTGCAGGAAAGCAGCCTATGTTTTTATTTTTGTTTCTTAAAGATTTTATTTATTTACTTGAGAGAGAGAGCATGAGCAGGGGAGGGGCAGAGGGACAGGGAGAAGCAGACTCCCCGCTGAGCAGGGAGCCTGATGTGGGACTTGATCCCGGGACTCAGAGATCATGACCCGAGCTGAAGGCAGCCGCTTAACCGACTGAGCCACCCAGGCGCCCCCAGCCTATGTTTTTAAAAAGCCTTGACTTCCCCTTGCCGCATCCTCAACGCTCATCCTCATCTACGTTCCCCTGTATCTTCAAAAAGCGTTTGCCACAGAGAGAACACTCAGTAAATATGTGTGATAAAATTCCCAAATAGTACATAAGTAATCCTAAAGAGAGAGAAAGCGAGAGAAGCCTTGGTGATACGCACTTCTGTGATTCACACTCAGTTGATACTAAGTCTGTGTCATACATTCTTGTACTTCTTAGGAACCCACTTGGCTTCAGGTAACAGAAAATCAAACTATAGCAGCTTCCACAAATAGGGTTTTATTTTTCTCACACAGCCAGCAGTGCTGGCATTGGTCCAGCAGCTCAGTGATGTCAAGGCCAACATCTCTCGATTGTCTTGGGTTTCCTTCATGGATACAAAATGGCTGTTCCAGCCCCAGCCTAGCCCATCTCCATTTAAGGCAGGAAGGAGAAGGGAAGTGCCATCTATGACTGAGAAAATAATACTTAAGAAACCCCTTCTTTTACCTCATTGGTCAGTATTGGATCAAATGGAAGTTCTTACCTAAAAGGGAGGCTGGAGACAGTGGACTAGTTGTGGTTCGCCTGGACTGGGGCTGAGCACAGTGTCCCTGTGAAAATCTGGGTTCTGTTGATAAGGAAGGCAGGAGGGAGAATAAGTATTGGAAAGCAGCTCACAGCCTCTGCCCTGATACTGCGTTATAAAAGTGGGTGACTTACATGGGGGACGGCATCTTCCTAGTGGAGGCTGGCATGCCCAGTAACTGGGAGACCCTGTGTCTCATGGTCCCAGGTGGATAAAGCCGCCCTCATGAAACGCCACGAGCAAGGATGGCTGATGGAAGTGACCGACAGCTTGGACCACTGCATTGAAAGACTCAGGTACAGTGCCTGACACGTGAGCATGGGGAAGTGGTTAGACCCCAAGAAGGGGCCTGGAGGCTGGGCTGCTTTACATGGGCCTGTTAAATGCCTGACACTTGGCCACAGGTGGCGCCTCACCAAGTGACCCCACAGAGGTCGTACTATACCAACATCACAGGACCCACCATGGGGTTTGAATCACAACCCCGAGATCAAGAGTTGCGTGCTCTACTGACCGAGCCAGCCAGGCGCCCCTTCTAATTCCATTAGAATTTCTCACTAGTCCCTAGGGCTAGGGTGCAGGTAACTCTGGAGTTCCCATACCTGGTGGTCAGACACTTGCTGCTAAATGATTTTCTTGATATTGAGCCACCGTTTTGCAAAGACTACGCCTTGTATTTCTCACTGTTGTGGCCTCAGTGCCCAGCCCAGAGCCTAGCACATAGTAGGTGCTCATCTAATCTGTTGGGGGGAAATGAGCCTTTGAAAGATGGAACTGTTCCTCAGCGTGACTCCAGTTTAGGGGTAAGCTGATCTTCCTCCCCACTCATGCTCTGGTTCTCAGGGTGGGGGACAAGGGGTTGGCAACATTTCCCTTTGGTTTGATGTTTTCTGAGGTATTTTAGCGGGAATGGGGGGAGGACTGCCCTGGGGGCTGCTGATCCCATGCCATTTTGTTTGTTTGTTTTAGAGAGAACACAAGAGGGCAGGGGAAGGGCACAGGGAGAGAGAATCCCAAGCAGACTCCCTGCTGTGCGCAGAGCCCTACATAGGGCTTGATCTCACGACCCTGAGATCATAACCTGAGCCAAAATCAAGAGTTGGACGCTTCACCTACTGATGCCGGTTTTTTGAAGCTTCCTCTTACTTTGCAGAACTGAGCTCTGTTTGGGGAAGACACACTGCACAGTGGTTCTCCAGCTCTGCTATAATTAGATTTGCCCAGGGCTCTTCAAAAGGGGCTTATAGGAAAATGTTCAAGCATATACTGAATTGAGAAATACTCCCATTACCAGGATTGGATACTATTTGACACTGATCTTTTAAAAATACTAGTTTGACCCCATTGCACGCCTGTGTAAAACTCTCGGGTGAGTTTCCATTAAATATAGGAATATAGGAGAAATTCCAGACTTCTAGTGGGACATTGATGGGTCTGGCTCCTAAACCTGTTAATGCTGTTGAGCATCCTGAACACACTCACACACTTGCACACATGTGCATGCACTTGTACACACACACACACACACACACACACACCACAGAACCAGGTCAAATCTTTTTAACAGAGTGCCTCAAGCAGCCCGTCGGGTTATACTTCTGCTCCCTGAGCTACGGAAGGCACAGATGGGAGTGGAGTGAGCCTCTGGGAGTGGAGGCCCAGTCCCCGTGCTGGTCTGCAGCTGGGATCCCATCTTCCTTCTCTGCTGGTCACTGCTTCCACACTCCTCACTGCTCTAGGACTGTATGCCTTTTCCTGCTTCGTTTTCCTTGCGCTCGGGAAAGGGGCACGTCGGCTCCACAGGCATCTCTGCCAAGCGTGGTGTTCAGTCAAACCGCATCTCTGAGTGGTGCCCAAACTCCCCACGTATTCGTGCTTTCTGACCCCTCTCCTACCTGTGGGGCTTTATGTATTACATCTTCTGTATTTTTTATCTGTATTAAATATGCTGTCTTTTTTTTTTTTTTGTCCTTTTATTTCTCCCAATAATGTTTGGAGTCATCTTTTTTTAAGATTTTATTTATTTATTTGAGACAGAGAGAGAGAGAGCATGAGAGATGGGGAGGGGAAGAGGGAGAGGGAGAAGCACACTCCCCATTGAGCACGGAGCCCAAGGTGGGACTCAGTCCCAGGGCCCTGAGATCATGACCCGAGCCCAAGTCAGACACTCAATCGACTGAGCCACCCAGGCGCCGCTCATCTTTTTTTTTAAGGTTTATTTATTTTAGAGAGAAAGAGAGAGAGCATGAGCACATGCAAGCAGGGGGAGGGGCAGAGGGAAGGGATCTCAAGCCGACTCCCCACTGAGCACAGAGCCTGAGGCGGGGCCCCTATGTGGGGCTCGAGATCTCACGTTCCTGAGATCATGGCCTGAGCCAAAATCAAGTCAGATGCTTAACCGACTGAATCACCCAGGTGCCTTCTGGAATCACCTTTAGTGATGTCTACAATTTTAGGATCACCTTGCATGAGTTCTAGAACAATCCCAATCAGTGCGCTAACAGCAACAGCCCTGATTCTGTGAATCCCCTCAAGAAGGCTTGTCACTGTTGTCATTTCATTTCTCTCATCTGGGGCATTCAAGTCTGCTGTTACAGGTCTGGGTCCTCAAAAGCCACGCCGCAGAGGTCCCTGCACCTTGGGCCCTGCTGCTGGCACACAGTGCTTGTGGTGACCTCCAGGGTCTTCTGCATTCTTGCCAGCTTGGTGTTGGTGGGGGTGGGCAGCTGCAGGCAGGTGCAATGGGCCATCTGCTCTGCTCTCGTGCCCTTCTAGGGAAGCAAGGAAAAGGAAGGAGGTGCTCAGCCTTGGTTACCATGGCAATGTGGTGGATCTTTGGTAAGTGGGGGATGGGAGTTGGCAGCCTTGGGGACCCTGGGTGAACCTCCCCCTCCAGACAAGGTACTGATGGTGGCCTTGTGCTCCCCGGACACAAAGCTTCCAATGTACTCAGCTTAAGGCTCCGATCCCAGTTTTCAAGGCCCAGATCCTGGCCCGACTTCACAGCAGCCTTCCTACAGATGTTCTTTTGAGAGGGGAGGGCAATCCCCTCCCAGCTGGGCCGTGAACTCAGGCCCCAGAGGGTGCCTACCCTTGACCTGGGCAGGTGCTGCCCGGCATTGATCACCCCATGTCTTTCCCAGGGAGCGTCTGGTCCACGAATTGGACACAACAGGGGAGCTCTTGGTGGACCTGGGGTCAGACCAGACGTCCTGTCACAACCCATTCAATGGTGGTTACTACCCTGTGCAGCTGGGCTTTGCAGAGGCCCAGAGCCTCATGGCCTCCGACCCTGCTGCATTCAAGGGCCTAGTCCAGGAAAGGTGATGATGTCCCAGGGCTACTCCGGGTGTGTGGGGGTGGGGCTGCACACAGCTGGCAGGAGCTTTTGGACTGGGTGGCTCTGGCCTCTGCCTGGTTCTCCAGGGGCCAACTGTGTGGCCTTAGGCGAGAGCTTTAATCTCTCTGAACCTGTATCCTCCTCTGTGGGATGGGAGGAGGGTGGGATGGGATGGAAACAGAGCTGGCTGAGCCCCATGGGGTGCAGTTGAAAGGTGACAGGGGTGAGGCACAGAGGGCCTGCTCTCAGAACCTTATGGGTGGGCAGGGCTGACCACGAACCACCGGCCTCTTGCAGCCTGAGAAGGCAAGTCTCCGCCATCAACAGACTAGCCAAGGAGAACTTCTTCTTTTGGGACTATGGCAATGCCTTCCTCTTGGAGGCCCAAAGAGCAGGTGAGACACAACAAAGGCGAGATGAGGGGGCCCCAGTCTCCGCAGGCTGGGAGGGGCCAAGAGCCTGGCACTGGGCACTCTCCCTTCTCACCAGCCAGGAGTGGGCCTGGCAGGTGCCTGGAGGGAAGTGGGGACACAGCATGCAGCTTTCACCATGTCCCTGCCCAGGCCTTCTGGGAGCTGGTCCTGCTGGGTCCTTGGCCTCCCTGGGCCTCAGTTTTTCCATTTGCCTTAAGAACGTCAAGTGACACAAAGAGAGTTGGTAGGATGCTCGGATATAAGCTCCAAGGGGGGGCGGGGGGCGGGGGGTGGTAGGGAATGCAGCCTAACTTTTCTGTGAGGGAAACTCTTTTTAAAATTTAAATTCAATTAATTAACATCTGGTGTAGTCTTAGTTTCAGAGGTAGAGGTCAGTGATTCATCAGTCTTCTGTAACACCCCGGGCTCATTCCAGCACGTGCCCTCCCTAATGTCTGCGGGAGACTTTTCTGTGAAACAGGTGGCCCGTGCTGGAAGGTAAAGTGCAGAAGGTACAAAACTACAGAGAGGAAGGTCGCCCTCCCAGCCCTGCCCCTGGCTCCCCTCCTGGAGTTCAAAGGCTCTGCTGGGCCTTTTGGGGCACCAATGGACCAGGGGGTAACATGGGTACACCCCCACCCGGCCCCACACCAACAGCAGCACTTGCTGTCTCCCAACCCCAGTGGGGCTTCCCTAGGAAAACAGAGCACGTCCACTGTTTTTCCCTGGCCTCTTTGTTTAAATCCCTTCTGGAGAGCGGCATGAGTCCTCGCCTTGGGGCAGGTGGGCCAGCCCTCATACCGTCCACTGATTGATTCTGTGCGGGTGCTCTGCCCACAGGAGCGGATGTGGAGAAGAAAGGCGCCAACAAGACGGAATTCCGCTACCCCTCGTATGTCCAGCACATCATGGGGTAAGTGATGGGGTCACTTCCAGCCTCTGGGTCCTAGACTCTCAGGTTGGGAAAGTCCTCAGGTAGGGAGAAACAGGAGATAACTGGAGGGAGATCCAACTGAGAGGGGGAGGCCTCAAGGTCAAACCAAGCAACACAAGGGCAGGGGATGGGAGGCCTCAGGATGCTTCTGGAAGGTTTGCCAGCCCATTTGTGCACAAGATGGGACCAGAGAGGGCGGGGAGAAAGGCGATAGTCTCCTTCTCAGGTTCACTGTGGGTGAGGAAGCAGAGGCTCAGGGGCCCGCACTGCCAGGCTACACACGCAGGGGGCTGCTGGGCACTGTCCAGAGAGGAGCGTGGGCCCAGGGGACGGGTGAGGCCAGGGGCCTGGAGGCCACCTAGGAAGGTCGGTTTGCCCAAGGCAAACCTGGCCAAGCCCCCACATTTACTGTTTCTCCCAACTACTTCGATGTAGTTCATTGATTTTCAGGTTGTCTTTGTAACAACACTAAAAAGGAATTTCTGCCTGTCTGTGTCCCAGCTCCCTGCTCCTGCAGCAAGAAATGGTGCAGATCTAAGAGGAGGGACAGAGAACCAGAGGGAGGGGCAACACTGAGGGGAGAGGGGGGCTGAGGGGGAAGGGGCAACACTGAAGGGAGAGGGGGGATGAGGGGGAGGGGGTAACACTGAGGGGAGAGGGGGGCTGAGTGGGAGGGGGTAATGATGTAGGAAAGATGTTAGGGTTGGAAGCTGAAGGCCAAAAAGAATTCTTGAGACATCTTTGGTGCAAAAGGTGATTTTATTAAAGCTCGGGGACAGGACCTGTGGGTAGGAAGAGCTGCACCGGGGTGATGAGGAACGGCCCATTATATACTTTCAAGTTGGGAGGGGGTTAGGGATGGCGTAGGTCTCTAAGGAATTTGGAAACAAGGTTTCCAGGCCCTTGAGGGGGCTAGCTATTGTTGGGAAAATGTCATTTATTACCGTGTAATAAAACCTTAGTCATGAGACCCTTCAGATGGATATTGGTGGGCCATATGCTTGGGGGATTAGTGCCAACAGGTATCTTGGGGGTTTAGAGATAAAGGACATTTCTAAAGGAATTTTTATATGTTAAAGTAGGCTTATAGGATCCGGCGGGGGGGGGGGGGGGTGCTGTCAGGCTAGGATTGTCTTTTGTCCTTAGCCAAGTATTAACATGGAGGTAGTTGAGTCCCTAGAGGAATGTCTCTCTGCCTGTTTCAAGGACTTGTCAACGGGCTGTAGGGAGTAAGGAAATTGAATAATTTTTCTTCCGCCATTGTTTCCCATATCATAAATACTGAAGGGAAAGGGGGGCTGAGGGGAAGAGGGGAACAGGGGGGAGGGAGGGGGTTGAGGGGGAGGAGGATACGGGGGAGGGAGGAGGCTGAGGGGGGAGGGCTTCTAAACCTGCGGTCCAGTTAGTGGGTTAGGGGCTTCCAGCAATGATTCTGGACACTGAAGCTCCGACTTCACTAAGTGTGCCCACATGCCACGCCCCCAACACACAACCCAACCAGCATACAACCTTCACCCCCCTCTCACTTCTGGAGCATCTGCAGGCCCTCCCTTCTTGGTTCATGGTAGCCCCGCCCTCGTGAGTGGGTGCAGCCAGGCCGGGGAGCCCCAAGGCCAGGAGGCATTTTGTCTTTGCAGGGACATATTCTCCTTGGGATTTGGGCCTTTCCGCTGGGTATGCACGTCAGGGGACCCCCAGGACCTGGCAGTCACAGATGAGCTGGCCACATCTGTGCTAGAGAAGGCCATTGCTGACGGAGGTGAGGCTGTGGCATGGGAGATGCTCACAGGCAGGTGGCCCAGTAAAGGCTCGGGTAGCAGCCCCCCCCCAATGCAGCCCCCTTCTCCGCTCATCCTCTGCCTGGCCCCCGCAGGCACGAGAGCATGTGGCCTCGGGTATATGCCTGTCGACAGTGCTTCCGATTCTTCGCAGCTGTCTGCTGTGCCCCACTCTGCCTTCCCTGTGTCAGAGCTCCTGCCGTGGCCTGTGGTTTCTCCGAGAGAGAGCGTGGCTCTGCCTTCCCACGTGGATGGTGGTGGTTGTCCCCCGACGGACGACCCGCCTCCGCCCCTTGTTTAACCTCAGTCCCTTCCTGTGTAGTGGATTTGACATGTTGCTTATCACGTGGAGAAGAGGAGGCAAGTATTTGATGAAACTTCCTCAGCTGTCCTAGCTCCTGCCCCCACTTCTCCGCAGCTTTTCTGCCCGTCGCGGGCGCCTTCTTTCCAGTTCTCTGTGTGGATCCTTCAGCCTTGGCTGCTTGTTTTCAGTCCCCAGGGGCCATTTCACGCTGCTGCCCACATCCAGACTCGGTGGGCTGGGGCGGGTCCAGGTTACCCGGATGCAAGGCCGGCCGTACCGGGGGAGGGTGGGCGGGCACCTGTGTGGGAGGAGCCAGGCGGGGTGGGGCGGGGCGGGGCCGAGGCCTCTTGGGAAGGAGCAGAAATCGCCAGATGCTGTCTGGTGCTAGAGGAGCCGGCAGGACGGTGGGTGTTCACCCAAACGTCCCCGGAAGAAGCTCTGAGCTGTTGCACCTGCTGGTGGCCACGCTGTAAATACTCTCCGGGTGGCTGATTTCTAGCGCGGCTCCACGTGGAGCGGCTGCAGAATTTCCCCCAGGCAGGTAATCTCAAGAGCAGAGAACCTAATAAAAGGTAGTAAAGTATTTAGGCAGTGATGACTTGTGAGCATTGCCTTCAAAATATTTAAAACTGCGAGTTTATTTAATTGAAATTTTAATGATGTCTGTGTCAACTACTGTGTCACACAATTCCTGAAGATTTAAGTCTGCTCCCATGAGCTGGGAGGAGCAGCTCCCAAGCAACACAGTTACCACCTGACTCTGCACGCCCTCCACACGTTAGCCGACTGGCCCGTCTTACTGGGATAGGCCAAGCTTCTTTCTACCTCAGGGCCTTTGCACTTGGCTCTTCTCTCTGCCTAGAGCACTGTTCCCTCAGATCTTTGTGTAGCTAGTTCCTTAGCATTTAGGATGTAGCTTGACCATTACCTCCACAGAGAGGCCTTTGGTCCCCGACCCACCTCCCTAGTGACTACCTCACCACACTTTTATTTCCTTCGTGGCGCACAGCAGTCTCTGTTCCCAGTGCCTGGCACAGCACCTGGCATACAGTGAGGACTCAATAGATGTTTGCTGAGGGAATGAGTGTATCAGGCAGTGGGTTGCACACGTCTGTGCATTAATTCATGTGACTATTGGCATTATGGGTCCCAGAAGTCAGATGGTCTGGTGTGGTGCTGGGGATGGGGGCTTTCTGACCCCATGTCTGGGCTCCATGATGGTTGCAAAACAGTTGTCTGTGCTGAGCAGCTGCCAGAGGGAGGGCCTGTGCCTGAGCCCGACAGGACAGGGGCCCCCAGTGCCTGTGACACCCTGCTTTCTCCCTGCAGTGAACCCGGCTGTGAAGCTGCAGTATATGGACAACATCCGCTGGATCCGGGAGGCCACCAAGCACCAGCTGGTGAGGGCTTGACCTGGTGGGAAGCAGGGGTGGGGTGCTGCTTGCCACGCCCAGGCTGGTAGATGTGGGCCCAAGATGGTGCCATCATACCCCGTGAGACTGCTTAGGTGGCAGCCTCCTTGGCCTCACAGAAGGCAGCCGCAGCCACCTCACCCAGCAGGCCACCGGACAGAGAAGCCCAGGGCCTTTCAAAAGGTGCCCTGGGGCCCTGGGGCAGTGACCAGCATCAGTTAGGTTGTTGCTCACCCAGGTACTCCACAGATAGCTCAAGAGAGTCAGTCCTCCTGGCTTCCCAGCCGTGTGACCTGGGGCGAGTGGCGCAGCCTCTCTGAGCCTCCCGTGTCATCCGCACAGCGGAGATGCTGCGGGCGGTCCGCACGCCCAGGCTGTGGTGGCGCGCAGGCTTGGAGCAGGCCCTCTGGGACAGCCTGTGCATGAGGCACGGCCGGGGCCAGGGCTGAGCAGAGGGGCATGCTGCTGCCTCACATCTGGGGGTGTGCTCATGTGCACTAGGGCTTTGGGGGTGGGGGAGCGGCCATGTGACAGTCAGGGGAGGCGGAGGATCAGCCAAAGCACAGGTCCTGAGGCGGCAGCCGGCTTGGTGTACCAAGGACAAACGAAACATGGGCATTTGGCTTGCACGCCTTTGGCCACAGACCTCAGTGGCCAGACACTGCCTGGTGGACACACGTCCGTCCCTGGCCTGGGGGTCCTAGGGCCAGAGGGGGACTCCCTTGAGCACCACCCCTGCATCCTGGGCTTCGGTGGCCCAACACCACCCACCCAAACTCCTCCTGGGCCAGTGGTTTGCACGTGTGTTTCCGTCACAAGCCCTGTGCCAACAGCAGTCTCTGGGACCGCTCGGAATTTGAGAGGACCTCCGGACTGTTGGACTTGAGGATCTGGGCCACAGGGAGGTTGGGCAGGAGCGGAAATGTGTGGGGCCAGTCCAGAGGTGGCCTGGAGAAGAGAAGGACCCAGCCTCGAGGGAAGGGCTCCCACCAAGCAGGAAGGGGCTGGCGGGAGGATGAGAGGTCAGGGGCGTGGGGAGTGGCACTCTGGACGCTGCTGCAAGGGTAACGGAGAAGCAGGACTGTCTCTTCTGTGTCTGAGTTGAAGTTTTCTGGAAGTTGTGTTCTCCGTACTTGTTTCACGTTGCTCTTTGCCTTGGGAAAGATGATGGTCGCAGAAGCCCATGCTTTTTAAACATTTTTTTTTAAAGATTTTATTTATTTATTTGACAGAGAGAGAGACACAGCGAGAGAGGAAACAAGCAGGGGGAGTGGGAGAGGGAGAAGCAGGCTTTCCCGTGGAGCAGAGAGCCTGATGCGGGGCTTGATCCCAGGATGCTGGGACCATGACCTGAGCCGAAGGCAGGCACTTAACGACTGAGCCACCCAGGCGCCCCGGGATTTTTAAACATTTTAATTGAGTGTAAGGTATACTCTTGATGGAGCTGGCAATCTGATACCAGTTCCTCCTCGATTTTCTTTTTCTGGATCCAAGACATCTGAAAATCTCTGCAGTGCTGACTTCAACTCTAGTCCTTCCCACAGGGCTTTGAGGCAGCTGGTGGGAGTAGAGTCAGGCTGTGGGTTAGCAAGTCATGTGCAAGGAAGAAGCGGCTCCCCTCACCATGCTGGCCGGCGCCGTGGCCCAGAAGAGCTCTCTTTTCAGGCTCACGATCACGGGTGCGGCTAGCTCCATCACCCGCTCCTGAACCTTCCACCCCATTCCAGGACGAGGGGCCGGGCAGCTGAGGGAAAACCTACATCCTCTTTGGAGAATCCAGGGTTTCTCAGCCTTGGCACTACTAATATTTGGGGCCAAATCATTTTTTTTTTCAACTATGGCAACATATATATTACCATAAAATTTTCCATTTTAACCATTTTTAAGGTACAGCTCAGTGGCTTTAAGCACACTTACATTGCGTGCAACTGTCACCACCATCTGTCTCCAGACTTCTTCGTCTTCCCAAGCTGAAACTCTGTCCCCATTAAAACACGAACTCCTCATTCCTCTCCCCCAGCCCCTGGCAGCCACCATGCTGCTTTCTGTCTCTGTGTAATTGACGGCTCTAGGGACCTCATGTAGTGGGATCATGCAGTATTTGTCCTTCTGGGACTGGCTTCTTTCACTCACCATGATGTCCTCAAGATTCATCCACGCTGTAGCGTGTGTCAGAATTCCCTTCCCTTTCAAGGCTGAATAATATTCCATTGTCTGCATAGAATATATCTATTTTGCTTATCCGTTCATCCGTCAATGGATACCTGGGGTGCTTCCACATTTTAGCTATTGTGAGTAATGCTGCTGTGAACATGGGGGTGCAAATTTCTGTGCGAATATCTGGGGGCCAGATAAGTTTCTGTTGTGGGGGGCCATTGTGGGATGTTTAGCAGCACTCCTCCCATGCTGGCAGCACCCAAACGTGTCTCCAGGCATTACCCCATGTCATCCTGGCTGAGAACCATTGTGCCAGACAGGGATTCCTTTTTACTTGCTGCAGTTTCTGTTTCCTGGTAGCACTTGTCTTACTCCAGAGGGGCTGCTCCTGGTGTTTCTGTCCACAGGCGCTCGGCCGTGCTGCCTACTGCCCAGGTGGTCGTGGCAGGTGGCTCAGCCTCTGCACCCCGGTTTTCTCATCTGTAAAGTGGAGCCTAGGATGAGAATAATAGCACCTTCCTCATTAACTCACCAGTGAGCGACGTTATGCAGAGTACTTGCGGCTATGCCAGGCACAATCCAAAATTGCATTAGGCGGCATTAATACTATTTTTATTGAAAGGACTCAAGCAGGGGTATGCTCCTAATAGTTAACATCCCTAGAGATGGGCGGGTCAGGGTCTTGGAGACCCCTCCTGGGGTTAAGCCTTGAGGTGTTGGATCACTGAGGGACGTCTGGGGGCCTCGACTGCATGCAGACATGCAGGTGGTTGGCGTGGTGGCCTGGGGGCTGGACATGAGGGCCCACCTCAGGCCTGCAGACTGTAGAGCTACCACACACCTTGGGGTCCTCCACGACCTCCCTCGAGGGGACTATCTGGCTGCTGGCAGACCTGTCACCCAAGTCTCCCCCTGCGTATCACTAGGTCACCAAGGTTCCTCTTCTCTCCCTTTTCCCCCCAGGTGGTGGGGTCCCAGGCGAGGATCCTGTACTCAGACCAGAAAGGCCGTGTGGCCATCGCTGTGGCTTTCAACCAAGCCATCGCCCATGGGAAGATCAAGGTGATGCATCCTGTGCTGCAGGCAGGAGGCCTCCCCTAGTTTCCTTCCAATCAGTGCCGGCATGGCCCTGAGGCCCCGGGGTCTATGTTTGTGTCATGTGGGTGGCAGATAACTGGGGACCAGGAGTGATGAGGCCTGTCCTCAAACCCAGCCTCTGACATGTTCCCTGCTGTGTGACCTTGGGCGAGTCAGGTGCCCTCTCTGAGCCTCAGGTTCCATCTTCTGTGAAAAGAGACTAATGTTAACCTCAAAGCCTAGGTGTGAGGATCAAGTGAGTCATCTTTCTTGAATTATCTTCTTTTTTTAAAAAATTATCTTTTTATAAACCATGACAAACTTCCCTGGCTTCCCCCCATTTTCCTCCTAGTCAGCCGGCCCACCATGGAAGACATGGAGCTCTGGGCACACTCATTTGGAGGGCCGTCTTGCTCCTGTTCCATAGGCTCATGCGCAGAGTTCTTGCTGGCATCCTGTGTTTGGGAGTGCCAGTATTAATGATCAGATATGAAAGGGAAATCAGGTTGGATGAACGTGATGCCTGTCCCGGTGCACCCACCGCGTGGCAAGGTTTTGATGGTGGCAAGGACAGCAGCCCCAGCCCATCTCAGGGAGCGCTGCCAGAGCACCCTGCTAGCGTGCTCAGGAGGAGGCTTGGGGCAGCTCCGGCAGGACGTCTCTCTAGGTGCACTCACGTCCAGGCTGCCATCGGCCGGTTGGCACGGAGAGCTGGACGTCTTATTCATTCATTCCACACGCGTGATTGAGCACCTCCTCCATGCCAGGCTCGTTCTAAAGGACTGGGGACCACCTGGCAGAGGGCCAAATAGACAGGGTCCCAACCTCATCCACGCACTGGGGAAGGGAAACTGATGATGTAGGATAAAGGCATAAATTCAGAGGGAACTTCAGATGGTGATGAACATGAGAAGAAAATGAATGGGGGTGATGGGGTGAGGGTGATGGGGTACAAGTGGCAGGGAGGGGGTAAGGGGTGGGAATGAGTGGTGACTTTAGACAGAGTGGTGAGAACAGGTCTTCTGAGTGCTGATGTAGAACTGAGACCTGAATATCTGGAAGGTGCTAGAATCCCTGGGGGTTGGCAGTTCAGAGCAAATATGAAAAGCAAGCTTGGCCTGTTCAAGGAAAGGAGAGAAGGGTTTCTTAATTCAGAGCAATGGGGAGTTCTGCTTTCAGCAAGATACCTCCTCTTACGCAGGGAGCCCGTGAAATCCTATGACCACTGGGGAGGGCTGGGAAGACCAACACTCTTGGGGCCAGCCATAGTTCCTTTGTGAGACACTCAAGAAACTTCCCAGTTTTGGTGTGGGAAGAGCTTGCCTGTTGCAGCTGGGCTGCACTGCCTTCCTCCCCCTGAGGACAGCCAAGAGGAAGGTGCAGCTGGGCCAGACTAGCTCTCACCTCATGCTTGTGGTCATGCAACATTCCCCGTTGCCCCAGCCCCTTCACGTCTACCATGTAATTGTTCCAGTTAGAACTTGTTTTTTATAATGGAACCACCCTGTGCCTGGCACAAAGGAGCCTGGTTGACCTGTCCTTAGCCACGGCCCCACTCAGCCTTCCCCAGGGCTGCAGTGTATTCTGTCATTGGGGCGGAGAGCTGCAGAGCTGCCTGGCAGCACGTCACAGACCCCCAAGCAGCCTGAAATCTTTGGGAAACAGGAAGAGTTGCCAACACATGCATTTGAAAAATCAAACCCCCTGTGCTTTCACCACGTGAAAAGTCTCTGTTCTCACAGAGAATGGCAGCACAGAAAGGATCCTAGTGATTTCCTTGTCCAGAAAACCAAGGCCCAGAGAGGAATCGTCCACCCGGCACCCCTGGGCTATCTGTCTGCCTCTTTCGATAGAGCACAGGCTCAGGAGAAAGCCCAGACTCTAGTATACTGTGTGTGGATTTAAATCCCAGCCTGTCCACTTACCAGCTCTATGGCATTGGGCAAGTTTCTTCTCCTCGCTGGACCTCAGTTTTCCTGTCTATAAAACAGGCATGGTAACAGGCATACCTATCTGGATAGAGTCGCTGAGACTGCCCAGTGAGCCTACACAGGCATAGCACCTGGGGGGCCTGTGCATGTAGAAAGCACCCAATCTGTGGAATCCATTAGTAGCTACAGGAAAAGCCATCAGAAACATCTATGCTTCCTCTTGTTGAAGAAGGTCTATTCCCAGGGGGAGCGATCCAAAGGGCTTCTGGTGTGTGCCAGGCAGCTATGGTAGACACTGTTAGCTGACATCTCATATCCTTCCCTGCTGCAGGCACCGGTGGTCCTGAGCCGAGACCACCATGATGTGAGTGGCACAGACAGCCCCTTTAGGGAGACCTCTAACATTTATGATGGCTCTGCTTTCTGTGCAGGTGAGGAAGACAAAATTTTTTTAAAATCTTTTTAATGTTGGATTTAATTTTGTTTAAAAATCAATTGATTCATTCAGTCAATCATAATGCTGCAAAAAATGTTCTGGCATCTGAGAGACTTGGCATAGGGTGACCAGCCCAGCACACCAGGGTTTCTGGGATCTGGGATTTCTGGTTTTAAACTGAGCTAGTGTCAGGCAAAATGGGACAGTAGGATGCCCTAATCTCAGTTGGGCACCTGACCCTGTCACTTGCTAGGTGGCCTTCAGCAAGGCATTTAAAATCTCTGAACCTCAATTTCCTCATCTGTAAAATGGAAATAACAATAGTACCTACTTCAGAGTGTTGTTGTGAAGAATGAGATGAATTAATATGTGTGCAGCATTAGGTCAGTGTCTTGCAGCCAGCGTTCAATGAAGGTTATCTGCTGCAGCTGCTGCGACTGTCCTGCTTCTAAACCCACTACAATCCTAATCATCACAGAGGCTGGTGGGTTCTAGTCCTGGCATAGCTTGCTCATTCCCAGCACTTGGGGGCTCCTTCCATTATGGATGGGATGCCAAGCAAAGGAGGTGGACACTCAGGAACCATCTGTATCACTTTTTTGAAGGAGTTGATATATTTCATGTAAGTTATCAAATTTATAGGTATAGAGTTGTATTCCTTTATCTTTTTAATGTCTGTGGGGTCAGTTGTGATGTCTCCTCTGTCATTCCCGATATTGGTCATTTGTGTCTTCTTTCTTTCTTCTTGATCAGTCTGCTTAGAAATTTATCAACTTTATTGATCACCCCAAAAAAAGAAACTTCTAGTTTTATTCATTTTTTTCTATTGCTTTTCTGCTTCCAAGGTCATTGATTTCTTTTTTTTTTTTTTTTAAGATTTTATTTATTTGACAGAGAGAGACACAGAGAGAGAAGGAACACAAGCAGGGGGAGTGGGAGAGGGAGAAGCAGGCTTCCCGCTGAGCAGGGAGCCCGATGATGGGGCTCGATCCCCGGACCCCAAGATCATGACCTGAGCTGAAGGCAGCCACTTAATGACTGAGCCACCCAGGCGCTCCCCAAAGTCATTGATTTCTGCTCTAATCTTTAGTATGTCCTTCCTTCTACTGGCTTTGTGTTTAACTTGCTCTTCTTTCTCTGGCTTCATAAGGCAGAAACTGAGGTTACTGATTTGAAACCTTTTTTTTTTTTCTAATAGAGGTATTTAATGCTCTAAATTTCCTTCTAAACACTGCTGTAGCTGCATCCTGCAAATTTTTATATATTTTCATTTTCATTCAGTTCAAAATATTTGTTAATTTCCCATAAAACTTCCTCTTGGATCCATTGGTTACTTGAAGTATCTTTTTTAATTAATTAAACATTTTTTAGAGAGACAGTGTGCAAGTGGGGGAGAAGGACAGAGAGAGAGAGAGAGAGAGAGAATCTTAAGCAGGCTCCATGCTCAGTGCAGAGCTCAAAACAGGGCTCAATCTCATGACCCTGAGATCATGACCTGAGCCTAGTAGGACGCTTCACTGACTGAGTCACCCTGGCTCCCCTAGAAGTATCTTTTTAAATTTCCAAGTTTTAGGAGACTTTTCAGATACCTTTGTTACTGACTTCATTATATATGCTATATATATATATATAATGAATTCATTATATATACTATATTCATTATATATACTGACTTCCATTATAGTCTGAGAACATACTTTATATTTGTTCTGTCCTTTTAAATTTGTTAAGGGTTGTTTGGTGGCCAGAAAATGGCCTATCTTGGTGCACTTGAGAAGAACATATGTTCTGCTGTTATTTGGTGGGTTCTACAGATATCAGTTAGGTCAGGTTGGTTGATAATGCTGTTCTGGTCATCTGGATCCTTACTGATTTTCTGCCTAATTTTCTGTAAATTACTGAGAGAGAGTCGTGAAGTCTCCACCTGTGCTTGCGGATTTGTCTGTTTCTCCTTTCAAGTCTTAACCATCTTTGCTCCAAGTATTTTAAACCTATGCTGTTAGGTGCACAGTCATTTCAGTTTCTGATGTCTTCTTGGAGAACTGACATCTTTATCATTATGTAATGTTCTTCTTTGTCCATCATAATATTCCTTGCTCTGAAATTATGATATTAATATAGTTTATATTCATATCTATGGCCACTCTAACAAGATGCCACAAACTTAATGGCTTAAAACAACACAAATGTATTCTCTCACAGTTCTGAAGGTCGGAAGTCTGAAATCAGATTTGGTGAGTGAAAGCCAAGCCATGGCTGGGCCGTGGCATCTCAGGAGGCCCTAGAGTTTCCCACCCTTTCTCATGCTCTAGAGCTGCACTTCTTGCATTTCACAGCCCAGTATAAGGAAGAGGGTGTTGTTAGGATTCTCCCCGATCTTCTCTGGGAGCACCCAGCCAGATTTTTGGAGGAAGAGCCTGCAAGGACATGCACACCCCCTTATATTTGTGTCCCAGAGACCTCAAGGTCTCAGGCAAGCTCATGCTTGTCCTTTAGCAATTTGTTAGACACACGTTAGGTGACCAGCCTGGGTTCTGTTTCTCTGTGCAAAGGCCTCTCTCTCCCCAGACTGTAATTAGTTAGTTGCCCTGGGACCTCAGTTCTCTGATGGGGTCAAGGACAGTCATTAATTTGTAGTTGTCCTCCACCCTTATTTTTTGTTGTTGTTTTGTTTTAAGCGGGGGGAGTGACTCTCTTTGGCTCTCTGCATCCATGAACTAAAATCAGTACCACCACCCTTTAATTCTTTTGTTCTTTCTGCTTCTGGGGCACTATATCTGGCATTCAGTGCTGGAGAGCATAACTATACAGAAGGATAACAGTGGGTACTTGAGCACTTGTCAGTACTCCAGCTTTTTGTGGCTCTGCAAACATAAATTATTGCTGTTTCTAGAGTCTGTGCCTAGTTCCCTATCTGTCCTTCAGGCCCCACTCAGCCCATTGTCGCCCTGTTCAGAGCCTGACCTGGCCCCCCAGCCCGCCTCATTCAGGGAATGATGGGCGGTGGTCTCTGTTTCCGCAGACATGGCTGTGCAGAACTTCGTGGGAGATGCCTTTCGAGGTGCCACCTGGGTCGCTCTTCACAATGGTGGGGGTGTTGGCTGGTAAGGTTTTGGGAGAACTGGGTGCTGTGGGTTTGGGCTGGTGTAGAGGTCTCGGGAATTCCCTTGAGGGTCCTGGGCCCTGCCTCCCCTGAGCTCGCTCTGCTGACAATGTTGCTGTGATGTGTTCCTCATGTGAACAGGAAATCACAGGACATGGCCGAGCCACTCTACCTTTCAGAGTCTCACCTGTCGCACTGGACACAAAAGCTGTAAAAACCATCCCTACACTTATCGTGTCGGTTTCCCCTTTGTTTTCACAGATGTTTTCTCAGGAATTCTCAGTGCTGTCCTGGCCCGGGCCTTCTCCACTGATGTGCCCTGGGCAGCTGGGCTGGGAGGCGGGAGACCTGGATTCTGGGCTCTCCTGGGTCCCCGGCTCACAGCTCTGCCCTGCCAGGCCTCTTCCCAGTCTGTGCCATGAGGAAATTGGGGTTTGTAGAAGGATCTTATTCCAGCTGACAGTGGCAGTTCCATCATGAAGAGGTCTGCTATAATTCTGCACCCTAATTCTAGCATGTGGGGGCTTTCCCACACCACTGGGCAGTTCTCCAACACCCCCTGGGTGTCCACAATTCAACTCAATTCTGACACCATCTGCTCAGAGACAGAACCAGATCCCACAGGGTAAGGATCCCACAAGGATGCCACCACCTCAGATGCCGATTGCAAGTCTAGGTTGTCACCTGTGCATCTGACTGACGGGCTACAAATCAGAGGTTCCCACAGTAGCCTCCCTGGGTTCCATTAATGCGCTCGAGCAGCTCACAGAACTCAGGAAACCAGTTTATTACAAAGGATATCAAAGGGTACAAGTGACTAGCCAGATGAAGAGGTACATAGGGAGAGGTCCCAAACAGAAGAGCTTCTGTCCTTGCAGAGTTTGGGGCCTGGCACTGTGGCACATGCAAGTGTTCTGGTTCCCAGCCTAGAACCTCTCCAAACCTGTCCTTTTAGGTATTAATGGAGGCTTCATTATTTAGGCATGATTGACTAAATCATTGACCCCAGATTCAACCTCCAGCCCCTTTCCCCTCACTGGAAGTCTGGGAGGTGGGACTGAAAGTTCCAATCCTGTAGCAGTATGGTTGGTTCCACTGGAAACTAGCACCCCTGCCCCCATTCCTTAGATGTGATCCAAAAGTCACCTCATTCACATAACAAAAGACACTTTACCCGCTCTCAGTGCTTACAAAATTCCAAGTATTTTAAGAGCTCTGTGCCAGAAATGGGACTAAGACCAAATATATATCTTTTATTATAAATCACAATATCAAATCCACAAAGAATAATGAACAACTAATATTTATTGTACATGGATGGTGTGGCAAGCATTTACTAAACTCTTTGGATCTACGCTCTCACCTAATCGTAGAAGCAAATACATTTTACAGATGAGGAAACTGAGGCACCAGGAGGTTAATGAGCTGCAGCTGTCCAGCTGTCCCCTCTTCCCAGACCTGGGAAGCTCTCAGGTCTGGGCTCTCCCGCCAAGTTGGACTCCTGGCTCTCCGGGGCAGCAGGGGGCGCTGCCGCTTCAGAGAGGAAGGCAGCTTTCTGGCCAGCCATCTCTGAACTGACCTCTGAGCCCGTTCTGGCCAGACTGAGCCTGGCCTTACCCTCCACAGCCAAGTCCTTCAGCACTGGAGCTTCCCAGAGCATTCCGATCGGCTGGCTTCGAGGCCAGAATTCCGAGCTGTAGCGCAGTCAGGCGGCTCTAATTAATGGAAAATGTGACGGGAGTATGTGTTTTTTCCAATACACAGGCTAGAGAAAACCAGAACGGAGAGTGCCTGGTTGTGAGGTACCTCGCATTTTGTCACTGGATTTGCTGAATTGGTGCTGGAGGTGAAGAGAATGAGGTTGAGTAACATGAGCTGGTGGTGGAGTCAGGATCTGAACCCAGATCTGTCACCTCCCAGGATCCACCTGTCATTGCCAACTGAGCCACAGGGGGCAGGAGGGATCAGAGCAGAACTGGCCTAAGAAAGCATCCATGACATGAGGGTCTCATGGCAGGACCCCCTGCAGGGGGAGCTCCCAAGAGAGGGAATGCTCCCTGCCAATTCCCAAGTTGCTCCCACCCTCCGGCTGCCCCCGAGGCTTTGCAGACAGGACTGCATACACCCACATAATTTAATCCATCAGATGCTCCCGAAAGGCTTACTGCAAAATCAGCAGGGAAAAAATCTGTACCTCAACCATTCCTGCTCCAGGAGGAAATCACTTTCAACTCGTCAGTTAATTTTTTTCTTTGTTCTACACAAACCCATTTCTAAGTTATAAGCTCCTTCTGCTATTTCGTGATATGCTCTCAGTATTTATTTGTTTATTTATTTATTTGACAGAGAGAGAGAGTGCGCAAGCAGGAGCAGTGGGGAGGGGCAGGGGGAGCAGGAGAAGAAGGCTCCCCGCTGAGCAGGGAGCCTGACGACGTAGGACTCCATCCCAGGACCCTGAGACGATGACCTGAGCTGAAGGCAGACGCTCAACCATATGAGCCACCCAGGCACCCCTGCTTTCAGTTTTTATATCATCTACTGTCTCCCTGTTCTGGAGCACTTCCATTTCCAAGACAATCTGCATCATCTGTGTGTCATCTTCCTCTTCCTCTGTCTCCTTGGAGCCCCTCTTTCTGGTTGCTTGCTTGGAGTCTGTGCTCATGCTGTCTGTCCAGTGGTCCTTGCTGTCTGCTTGTGTTTCGAGAGGGCACCCACAGCCCGGTGTGCACAGGGACCTTTGGACCGTAGGCTGCAAAGCAGGAGAGGTCAGTGGTCAGTCTGGTTTTAGGCTGGTTGGTCTGCTCAGTAAACACAGGTCTCGTCTCCTGTCCTTATAGGGAGGGTGTGGCCATTAGCCATTCACTATCGAATCTTCACTGCCAGCCTATAAAGCAGTTGCACATCTGGCTTTCAGGTGATGCTGCTTCTGCAGGCCCGAGGACCGCTCTGAGTACCAAGGCTTGCAAGGTTCTCGCCCTCTGTGTGCGTAAATCTCCAGTGCAGTGGGGGGTATCTTCGATGTATAGTTCATGGCACAATTGAGAGCATGGATACTGAAGTTGATTTCTCTGCACAAGTTAAGCTTGTTGAGCTTCGTTTCTCATTGACAAAATGCGCATCATAATAGCAATTGCTATGAACATTAAATAGTGAATGGCTAATGCTCATAGTACTGTGTACAACATGTACAAGGCCTTCTAGATTGACATGCTAGCTCATCTGATCGCTGCAACAGTCCCCTGTAAGAAATAGGTGCTACCCAGGTGGAGAAATAACTTTGCCCAGGTTTTAAAACGAGCTACTTTTGCAGGAGGCCTGGCCCGAATGCATGCGCTAACCTTACTCCGCGAACTACCTGTAAGGGGGCCAGGGCAGGGCCTGGACGTGGCACGCCTCCCATAAATGTTAGCCTTTATCAAGTGCACGCGGTTTGGGACTGCAGGTGAAAACTGGGTGTTTTAAACTTTGGTAGCTGTGGTCACATTTCCCTATATAAAAATTCCAGTTTGCATAACCTCAGCACCCTGGGTGTTACCACATAGGATTTGCCAGACTGGTGAGCAAGAAGTGACAAATCCTTGTTGTTTTGATTTGACTTGCTTGCTTCCAATTTTTTGTTTTGAGTTGTGTGATTTTTCTTATTGGTTGGGTGTTCTTAATCCATTCTAGACATTAGATGCATGTCTTGGGTGCACATCCCTTGTGTTTGAATGTCGTGTATTGTATCTGTGCTGGCTGGGTTTTCCAGGAGGCAGAAGCTGGGGCGGAGGTAGAGTGTGTAAAAGGCTTACTGGAAAGACCACCTGAGAAAGGAAGGGGGGCACCCTCAGTCTCCATGCACACCCGCCAGTCTTGCCGCCTGAGGGGGCTGGGGTTCTGGGGCCAAGGCCATTGAAGGACCTACTTTGGGTGGGCAGAAATGGGCAGGCCCTCGCCATGGTAGTGCTTAGCCTCTGCCCCAAGAAGGACCCTAAGGAGTTATTGTTAGGGGCTGTGAGCTAACCACCTTCTCTGCAGCCAGGCTTTCTGGAAGAGTCCCCTGTGCAGGCCTCCTCTCCTCACAGGGAGCTTTATCTTTACCCAGTAACTTTTCTATTCTGGCTCTTCATTTTTTTAAAAGATTTTATTTATTTTAGAGAGAGAGAGAGAGCGTACATGTGAGCAGGGAGAGGGGAAAGGGACAGAGTGGGTAGGAGAACGAAAAGGAAATGGGAGAGAATCCCAGAATCCCAAGCAGACTCCCTGCTCAGCATGGATGATGTGGGGTCTCACAACCCTGAGACCATGACCTGAGCCAGTATCAAGAGTCGGATGCTTAACCGACTAAGCCACCCAGGTGATTCAAGGGCCCTTCATTTTTTAAACGTTGCTTTAAAAGACATTCCTCCTCCTTCCCAAGTTAAGAAAAGACATGCTCCTAAACTTTATTTATCATATAATTTTGAATTTTTCCTTCTTTAGTACATCTGGCACCAGTTTTTCTTTATGTGGCATAGAGCTCTATTTTTCTGTTTTTCTCAAAGGGACAGTTAGTTGTCCCAATTCCATTTGTGAGCAACCCCCCGTGCTCTGCTGATCGTGGTGCTGCCTTTATTGTCTCATCTTCCTGGGCTCAGTGTGCTGAGGTTGCCTCAGTGGGCAGGGTTTGCTGAGGTCACATGGAGCTGAGCAGCTTTGCTCTCTAGCAGTCTGGGCTTCAGGCTCCCAAAACAGAAGATCAAGTTCTCATCTCCAAAAGCCCTCTCTGGTCAAAGGACACGCTGAAGTCCTTGCTTGGCGACACTGGCTGGCATCTGCTTTCCCCTCTGTCACCCAACATCAGCCCCGACAGGTGACTGATGATGACCTTGAATCCACCCGGAGGCTGGTGGGAGATATGATGGGAGCCCACTGACAGGCACAGGGCTGCCCAGCTCGGGGACACAGGCTGAGGGCAGGGGCAGTTGCCCACTCACAGAGGTGCTCGACTTCCACGCTGGGAGTGGGGAGCTCAGCTGGCTCCTGCAACAGAGGGCTCCTCACCTTCTTGGTGGGAACTGGCTGAAATTGTCAGTAGAGCCCAAACGGGGCAGAGAAGCAGGTAAGGCCTGAAGGATCTGAGACTAGAGAAGCTAGGTGCACATTTTGGGTGCAAGAAGGAAGAAGAGCAAATTCGCTGGAAGCGGGAACTGAAAGGTTGGAGGCTGTATTGCCAGGTTCGTGTTTGGCAGTAAGGCCCTGGCAAGTGCCAGCAAGAGGGAGGGCATTTCCTATGTGTGTAACAGAAGGGGGTATGAGGGGTATAGTGATGCTAATAGCAGGAAGGGCAGCCAGGCCTTGATCATGATGCTAAGGGTGAGGATGGAGATCCAGGGGTGCCAAGAAGGATAGGGTGCTCCTAGCTGATGGCACAGAACCACAGGGCAAACATGTGGAAAGTCGGATAGCATTAACATGCTTCACTAAGATTCCCACGACACCTACTGAAGAAATGAATGAACACATGAACGTATCACGTCTGTGAGGGGAGGTAGTCCAAACAGTGCTCAGAGAAATCTGGTCATTAGAAAATAAGAAATACAGAAAATAAAGAACTCAGCCTTCAAATCAAGTTATCAGGACCTCAAAATACACCTAAAGCAAGCTGAAAGAAGAGGTAAAGAAAAGTAAGAGCATAAAGAGAAATCAGGAAGAATGACAGTTGAATTGAGCATCATAAGAGCCCCCCAAGGAAGCAGGCCTTTATGAGATGCACTCAGAACCACAGAGAAGGAGGTCACCTGTGGGAGGTGACATGGTCAAGAGTCTTGAAGGTGGGTGTGGAGTGCACGGGGTAAAGCACAGAGGTGCAAGTGGGCAGTGCAGAGCCCAGTGACTCCTGCATCCCCTAGGCTGGGGAGAGGGTGCAGACTCCAGGCCGCAGGAGCCAGCCACACTGTCTCCTTGAGCCAGTGCTTCCAAAGGGTTCCCCAAATGTGCGTGCGCTTCTGTCTGCTCCAGGCAGGGGCAGGCCTGGAGAGTGGCCTAGAATCCTCTTTGCCTCTTGCAGGGGTGAGGTCATCAATGGAGGATTTGGCCTTGTGCTGGACGGGACCCAGGAGGCTGAGCAGAAGGCCAAGATGATGCTCAGCTGGGATGTCTCCAACGGAGTAAGTCACATCCAGGCCTTTCCACGGGCCTTCTCTCCAATGGGGGTTCTGCCTCTCCAGATTGCAGACCCGAGAGAGTGTTCTTCTCCCTTCTTCCCCAGGGAACAGTCCCGCCGCTCTTGCTTACTGGTGTCTCCTCTCCCACTGTTGCTGGGTCTCTCCTTGCATCTTTTGGGGCTGTTTCTGAGTCTCTTTTGTCTCTTCCTGCCTCTGGCCCTACCCCTCCAGTCCAGCCTCGATCCCCATAGGGGCCCCCAGCCCTTCCCTCCCAGTGAGAGTACCCCACTGTTAGTGCTGACGACCTCCTTTCTTTCCAGCCTCTCAGAGGGGGCAGGTCTGTCAGGCCGAGCAGCTCTCACCCTCTCTGGCTGTGCACATGCATGTGTGGCCCTGCAGGGGCGGGGGGTGCCCTCCTGCCCCGTGACCACATCACAGGCCAAGAGAAGGGGTGGTGAGCACAAACAGGGGGCCAGGTGGTCATGGGGAGGATGCATGCTGGCAGGTGTGAGGGGGAAGTGGAGGGGTTCTGCGTGCAGGGGCCCAGACAGCTGGATGTCAGGTGAGGGGGTGAGCGTAAGAGTGGGGTGGAGGGGTTCCTGGAGGGGTGCTAACCAGTAGAGGGGGTGGTCTTCATCCTGAGGGCCACAAAGCAGTGAGGGGAGGGACGGGGGAGGCAAGCATGGCAGCAGGGAGGGCGGGGAAGCCCCGAGGACTGAGGTGGAGAGAACGAAGCTGATTGGAGAGAGATTCTAAGGCGGAGCTGAGATGGATGTGGATTCCCTGAGGATGGCTCCAGGATACCTGGCCTGGTACCCCTGAGTGAATGCAAGGTCTTTCTTGGACATGGGGTAGGCTGGGTAGAAGGATGGCCAGTTTCAGATCAGAGAGGCGGCTAAATACATAGTCCAGCCAAGAGAGTGGGAGGTCTGAGCTAGAGGTGGGGATGGGGCAGACACACAAGACTGCTGGCCCCACACACAGCACAGAGGGGCCCCAAAGTGGGCGAGGGCGGGGATTTGCAGCCCAGCGGCAGTGTGTCCAGAAGGCCCTATTGGGAAGCTGGTGTTGGCACCAACAGCTGCCCTGCTCTCTCCCCATCCTGCCGCAGGTAGCTCGGCGCTGTTGGTCTGGGAACCGGAAGGCCTACGAGATCATCTGCCAGACGATGCAGGACAACAAGGGCTTGGTGGTGACACTCCCGCATGAGGTGGCCGATGAGCACATGCTCCAGCAGGCCCTGCGGCCATGAGGGGAACCCAAGAGCCGGCCTTGGTTCCCTCATCCCCCCTTGGTCCCTGTCCTCACCCTCACAGTCACAGCGCATCTGTCACTACACACCTTTGTCTCCTGGGTTAGCAGTTTCACACACAAGCCCTCACTTGGCCCTCAATGCCCTGGAGGGCATGGCACCACCATCCGCAGTTTACAAACGAGCCAGCCCAAGCCAGAAGAGATGGGACCCTTTGTCCGTGACCCCTGGGAACCCTGGGAGGGCAGCAAAAGTCTCGTCCAGGGCCAAATCCTCTAGCCCGCCACAAAGTAGACTCCAGGAACTTTTGGGGGCTGTGCATGCCATGAATACTGGGCGTCAACCAGTCCCTTCAAAGCCCCTGCCATTCTTTCTTCCACCAAGGGAGCAGAGTCTCCTTTGGCCTGGTTTTTATCAATCACTCTGCCTCCTGTCTGCCTTCCATCCATGCATCCAGCTATCTTTCCATCTGCTGGCCTGTCTAGCTGTCCATGACATACTTTCTGTATCTCAGTGCCTCCAGCCATGGGCCCAAAGGAACACGGCCAGGCCCTGGGCTTGAGGGTCCAGGGAGGAAGACAGGGTAATAAAGGATTAGGGAAGAAAGGAAAGAAGCCATGTAAGGTGTCATGGGCAGGATGGCCATGGGTTGGTGGGTTGGCGGCAGGCAAGGTCCTGCCCTAAAGGGTCAACGGTAGTTTGTGGGGAAAAAAGGAGAGAAGAGGGGTGCCCCCGATGGCTGGCCCAGTATGAAGTGCAAGAAAATGCAGCCCAGTCCCTTTAGAGGGAGGCCCGCTCCAGAACCCTGCTTGCGACCAGGTGTCCTGCAGGAGCCCTGTTGGGCCTGAGGCTGCATTTTCGCACCCCTCCCCCAGATATCTGATCCTGGTAGTGGCTGGACCCATGGCCCAGGCTCAGATGCAAAGCACCCAGGCAAAGGGAGTTAATGTGGCCATGCTTTTCCAGGCCTTCCTTTTGAAGTAGGCACCCTTTTTTTTAGGGATTCCCCTACTTTTAGGGCTCCCTCCTGCCTCCTCAACTCCCGGTTGCCTATTGCCCCTGGCCTCTGGGGTGCTGCAGGCTTTGGGTATGATTGGCTTTCCCCCTGTGACCACCTAGCCCCTGGAGCTGAGACGAAGGCAGGAGGAGGACACAAGGTAGCAGTGGGGTGGGGGTGGGAGAGAGGGGGAAGAAAGACCCCCAAAGGTGGTAGTACCCTCTGATGACAGAGGAGAGCATGCTGTGGCGAGGACATTTGTCTTGTTTGGTTCACACAGTGGGACCCAGGCCAAACCCTTTGCCTTCCTCAGAACAAGCCCCTTTGGGGAGGGGACTTCTAGCTCCTGCCTCTAATCCAGGGCAGACCATGGCCTCACCCTGCTGTGGGACCAGGCCTGGGAGATGGGGGCCTGGGGGACTGCCTCCCTGTCTTTAGCAACCAATGAGCTATCCCCTTTCCTTTGTTTGAAATTGAAGTCTAGTTGATGCACAATCTTACAGTAGTAGTTTCAGATGCACAACGCAGTGATTGGACAACACTTCCCCTTTCCTTTGTAATTAATTAGGTTTTAGAAATGAAATGCCAAGACTCTGATAAAACTTTGATCTATTTAATTTATGTTAATTTATTTATTGGAGAAGGATTATAGAGGCCAAAACTTGCTTTCTGGAGTCCCAATGTGTGGGTATGTTTCTTTTATAAAATAAAAATTTCTCCTAAATTAATAGGTGGATGTGGGGCCCCGGGAGTCCTTAGCTTTCTCCTAACCCTGCCTGCCTGCCAGGACCTCAGGGACCTTGGCCTCTCTGAACCTCAGTTTTCTAAGCTGTATAACAGAGTGTAACACCTGCATCTCAGTCAAGGGGTGACTGTGGTTCTGCTTTATTCTCATCCAGGTTATAAAAAGCCAAGTGAAGGGATGAATTTCCTGCCCCTCTTCTTCCACCCTTCCCACCCCACTTACTGACGTTGGGACCTGCTCCCTTCCCTGTAAACATCCAGGGCCATGCAGGGAGTCAGGCCGAGCTGGCCCCACCACACTTGCTGGCTGTCCAGGCCAGAGGACCCCCCCCCCATGACCTCACTGTGCAAAGCAGGGCACCTTTGACCATGAACCTCCTTCTCATTATTTCCTAGCCTTAGCTCAGCCCCTGGAGCTCACTGACAAATGACCCACCCTACACACAGAATTGAGAAAGCAATTGGGGGATGGGTGTCTAAGGAGCCACAGAGAACCTGACACCCCTCCCCGTTTACACCTGCAAAGAGGAGGCCAGTCTAGCTGGGGTCTGTGTCTTCAACCACTCAACACTGTTTGTCTCCTCCCTAGTGGCCATTTCCTCCTTTTCCCTTACACAGTCCAAATTTTTCTGGACAGTAGTATGTACATTACCCCATAGTTGATTTTCAGGATTGCTTTGTCATTAAGAGTGACTATTGGCCTAGTTCTGGCCGTGAGACGAGGTGGAAGTCTACAGGGTAGGACCTCTGGGAAAGCTGTTGCTTTTTAAATAAAAGTGGACTGGATTGCTTTTTGTCCTCACCCCTTCCCCCTGCCAGGACCTCAGGTGTGATGCCTGGAAGCATAGCAACCCTGTTGTGACCACAAGGGCCACAGAAGCACATGGAGGATGCTCATGGAAAGGCAGAGGTGCCCGGGTTCCTGGCAGCATACAGAGCTGCTGTACCAGCCCTGCTGGCCCCACTCCAGCCTCACCTGTTAAAGCCATCCCTGTAGGGCTTCTGTTGCATGCAGCAAGTTCAGTGCTAAATCCTCCCATGGTCCGTCAACAAGTCTCCACGAAAGCACCCTGGTGCCTGTATCTGTGTGAATATTCCCTGTTCCTACGGAGAAACAAAGAGAGTATGTCAATGTTGAGACCAGGACTGCCCTTCTTTTCCCATCCAGCACCTTCCCTTAAGGACAGGCAGGCAGGGTTCAATGGCCAGCTTCAGGCCATGGCTCAGCAGGCGACTAGCCATGTACAAGGGCCTCAGACCCCCTCTTGGCTCCACTGCAAGCCATGCCAGTAAGCAGGCTATGTCCCTGGGCCACAGCGTGTCAGCCTGCTGCCTGCTGCCACCAGGGAGAAGGGATGCCCGACATCCAGAGTGGGGCCCCCATGCGGCTCAGCGGGAGTGGGGACAGCTGACCACAGCCGCGTGGACTGGATGATCAGGATGGCTTGTTCGGTGGTGTCTCAGGCAGACACAGGAACTGGATATTTTTCAAAGGGATTCTGTGTGCAGTTTAGTCTTATTTTTAAGAAAGCAGAGATGTGTAGTCTACTGAGAAATGTTTTCATCAAAATGATTAAAATAGAAACCAGTTGGCCATGACTGGCATCGGCTTCAGTTGCCTTGAAAATTCGATGTTGTGAATGTGTCAGGACCTCTCCCTGGGTAGCCTCTGGCCTCTGTGAACCTGGGGGCTCCCTGGGAATCAGACGCTTTCCTTGCTGGCCAGCCCCGGTCAGTTCAGGAGGGCTCAGCCAAGTGATGAGCTCTGTTGCCCCAGGTTTTAGAGTAGGCTCCTACAAGAGGGCAGGGGGCCAGACTTGACCTGCTGCTGCATTTTGTTTGCCCTCTTTAAAAATGTTTGACTTTGTCACCAATTTTTACAAGTTGGGAGATGTCACTTAAATATCCAGATTTTCAGTGTACTTAAGCCAAGCGATCAGGTGACACTGTGCCCTTGCCACCTCTGCATCAGCAATCAGCTGGAGGCTCTTTGGAGCTGGGCTTGTTTTTTCCAATTTGCCACAGGCCCTACTGATGTGGGAAACAAAGGCAGAAGAAAAATTACTAAATTTCCTTTCTACCTATAGCCCATTGACAAGTCCTTGAAACAGGCAGAGAGACATGCCTCTAGGGACTCAGCTGCCTCAATGTTAATATTTGGCTAAGGGCAAAAGACAATCCTAGCCTGATTCCCTGCCCCCCACCCCCCAGGATCCTGTAAGTCTACTTTAACATATAAAAATTCCTTTGGAAACGTCCTTTACCTCTAAACCCCCCCAAGATACCTGTTGGCACTCATCCCCCAAGCATATGGCCCACCGATATCCATCTGAAGGGTCTCGTGACTAAGGTTTTATTAGACGGTAATAAATGACCTTTTCCCAACAATAGCTAGCCCCCTCAAGGGCCTGGAAACCTTGCTTCCAAATTCCTTAGAGACCTATGCCATCCCTAACCCCCTCTCAAACTGAAAGTATATAATGGGCCGTTCCTCATCACCCTGGTGCAGCTCTTCCTGCCCACGGGTCCTGTCCCCGTGCTTTAATAAAACCACCTTTTGCACCAAAAATGTCTCAAGAATTCTTTCTTGGCCGTCGGCTTTGAACTCTAACATCTTTCCTACATCACCTACCAGTCCTTACTGCCCTCCAGTGGCGAGGCCAAGTGTGCCTATTGTTCCTTCTTGGGCTTGAGATGCTGGTTTCTTACACTGCCTGCTTCCCACTCTGTCACCTGTAGTCTCTGCTGGGATTCAAATATCTGTGTGTTATCATTCTCTAGATAAACAGAACCAGTAGGAGATGTATCTGGACATATATACATATATAATATAGATATCTGTAGATGTCTATATATAGATAGATAGATGTTGTTGCTATATATATCATGGCAGCCCCATGGAACCATAAGCTAGAGGACTGGGAAGGCCAGGGGCATAATTCAGTTCAAGTCCGAAGGCCTGAGAACCAGGGAAGAGATGGTGTAAATCCCCGTCTAAGAGCAGGACAAGATGAAATGAGGTGTCTCAGCTCAGTGGGATATTAAACAGGGAATTCCTCTTCCTCTGCCTTTTGTTCTGTTCAGACCCCAACAGACTGAGACCTCAACAGATTGCAGACGCCTACCTACTTGCAGAAGAGCCACCCATTTAAATGCTAATCCTGTCTGGAATCACCCACAGGGACATACCCAGAAACAATGTTTAAAATGGCCCACTGAAATTGATGGGTAAAATTAACATCACAGAAATCCCTGATGGAGAAGTTTCCTTTCACTCTGTGATATTTTGATTTATAATAAAAATATATATATTTGGTCTTCATTCCCATTTCTGGCACAGAGCTCCTTTTAAAACCCTTGGAATTTCCTAACTGGTAAGAGTGATCAAGGTGTTTTGATATTCTGGGCGCCTGGGTGGCTCAGTCAGTTTAAGTATCTGCCCTCGGCTCAGATCATGATCAGAGTCCTCGGATCAAGCCCCACACTGGGCTCCCTGCTCAGTGGGGAGTCTGCTTCTCCCTGTCCTTCCCCCTGCTCATTCTCTCTCCCTCTCTCTCTCTCAAATAAATAAAATCATTTTAAAAAAGGTGTTCTGATATTCATAACAAACTTCTTTCAAGTACACCTGAGTTTATGTTAATGAGGTGACTTTTGGAGAACACCTAAGGATGATGGCTGGTTGCAAGGGGAACCAAGGAGTAATGAGAGGGTTGGAACTTTGAGTCCTACCCCATGTCCTCTGGAAAGGGGAGAGGAGCTAGAGGTTGAATCATCAGTGGCCAATGGTTTGATCAGTTATGCCTGAATATTGAAGCCGTGGGGCGCCTGGGTGGCTCACTAGTTGAGCATCTGCCTTCGGCTCAAGTCATGATCCCAGGGTCCTGGGATTGAGTCCCACATCGGGCTCCCTCCTCGAGGGGAAGCCTGCTTCTCCCTCTCCCACTCCCCCTGCTTGTGTTCCTGCTCTCACTATCTCTGTCTCTGTCAAATAAATAAATAAAATCTTTAAAAAAAAAAAAATATTGAAGCCACCAAAGAAATGCAAAAGGACAGGGCTAGGAGAGCTTCCGTGGTGGGGAACACATGGAGATTTGGGGAGAATGGCATGTTGAGAGGGCATGGAAGCCCTGTGCCCCTTCCCCATACCTTGTCCTATGTGTCTCTTCTATCTGGCTGTTCCTGAGTTATCTCCTTTTATAATAAACTGGTAAGCTGGTAAGTAAAATGTCCCTCTGAGGGGTGCCTGGGTGGCTCAGTTGGTTATGTCTGCCTTCAGCTCAGGTCATGATCCCAGGGTCCTGGGATTGAACCCTGCAGCGGGCTCCCTGCTCAGTGGGGAGTCTGCTTCTCCCTCTGCCTCTGCTCCTCCCTGGCTCGTGCTCACTTTCTCTCTCATTCTCTCTTTCACTCAAATAGATAATAGATAAATAAAATCTTTTAAAAAAAAGTTCCTCTGAGTTCTGTGAGCCACTCTAGCACATGAATCAAACCCAAGGAGGAGGTCATGGGAACCTCCAATCTACTGCCGGTCAATCAGAAGCACAGCTGACTTGAAACTGATGTGTGTGGGGGGCGGGGGGCTGTCTTGTAGGACTGAGCCCATTACCTAGGCAATCTCCAGGTACATAGTGTCAGAATTGGGTTAATTGGTTAGTGGTGATGGAGGCTGGCGAGGTCCGAGGACCCAGAGGGCTTCCTACAGGACCAGCCAAGACGATCCTTGGCTTTATGCTGGATAGAAATCAAATGCGCGGAGAGGAAGTGAGAGCAGAGTTTATCGCAGACATCGAGAGAGCGCATACAGACAGAGCATCTAGAAGACTCAGAAAGGAAAAAAGAGTGAGTCTCATCTTTGCTTGGGGTCTGGGGTTTTTATTAAGGGTTGTGGTTCAGCACACGTGTCTTCTCAGGCATCCAGGAACAAAGACAAGTGTTTAGGTGTCCTCCGTAAGTCACTTCTGCCCTGGAGCCAGGGGTCTTGGTGAGTCAGTGGTCTTGGAAAACATTCATAATGACACCACCGGCCACTCCTTAGATGCTACCTGTTGTGCTGGAAGCCTCCAAAGAGATCATTAACTCCTTGACCTTTACAAGGAGGACACACATTATCTGTTCGATGAGGTGTGTGTAAGGCAGGCATATAGGTCCCAGCAAGAATAGAAGCAAGAAAAGGAGAAAAAAGCAGTTTTTCATTGGGTCCCTTTAGTTTCCCTGTCTCAGTGGTGTTGGAAAGAACACACACGTTGGAACTCCCAACCGCAGCCCGTCCCTACTCCTTCCAGAACTTGCGATACCCTGCACATGGACAGTGGCAATTCAAAGGCCACAGGGATGCCATCAGAGTGCTCAAAGCGGACTTCAGCTCCCTCCATTTTGACCTCAATCAGTACTTTCTAATTGATTAAATTCTTCTTTTCATTTTGTTTCTTAATTCAGGCAAAAGACCCTTGCGGCCAAGCAACCCCTAATGGGAATGAAACTACCCCTGAAGCAATAAGGACTGCCCTAAGCCAGAAAGACCATGCCCAGGATAAAACCTTCACGGCCCACCTGCATGTACCCATCCACCTTTGCCCCACATTTTCCTTATATCAACTGGGTCTATTTTCGGAACTTTGGAGACAGTCTATGAGACACTAGTCCGCGGTCTTCCTGGTGGTGCCTCAGTAAATTAATTCCTTTGTTTCACCACTGCTCGTTACTGTGCCTTTGGACTTTGTCAGCGGTGAGTGGCCCAACCTGGTCTGTTTGGGACCCCTGGAGTCAGGTATTCTTGCACCCTTTTTCCCCCAGCTATAGTACTGGGCACCCAGCAACATCTGGGCTGGTGGGATTTCTCCCCAGATGCAAACAAGTATGACAAGCACCTTATGTCTTCTCCCTGGCTGCCCCAAACCACTCCTGACACACACATGCTTGGAGACATCCTCTCTGACTGAGACACCACTGAACAACAACTATTCAAGCCCAGCACATGAGATCTGCTCCTCACTATAAGCCCTATTACTTGCAGTGATGGAGAACCTCAGGCAGTAGGAAGAGTGAGATGAGTCCTTGCCAAATGTTCACTAAAGTTGATTTCACCCATTTTAAAGTGTTATGAA